TCTAAATGTGCCCTTGGGCCAGATCCTTCTGCTCTCTGGACCTCAAGTTTCTTTGTGAGGTGCCCTCCTCCACCTGCGACTCAGGTTGCTGAACCCCTCCCTGAGCCAAGCCACTGATTTGTAGATCTGCACTTGGGGTGGCTCAGAGGGGCAGTAGGCTCTGGCCAGGCTGTAGAGATGGAGGGGGAAGGGTGTTGCTGGGGCAACCAGATGTTATCAAGTGTGAGAACCTTGGATCTGGCCAGGGAATTTGCAGCTGTGGCCCTGAGTGCCAGCTGTGGGCCTGGGACCTCCATGGGCTGATGTTACCCTACCCCCAATTTATCAGAAGCATAGTCCTTTGTTTTCCTGGCTAGGAGGAAGCTGAGGGTGACTGTCCTATGTAGTGACAGGCTCTGGCTTGGAAGCTAGCCCAAGCAGTTACTAGGAGAGCACCTGCCTTAAAGGGCCATGATGAGATCTGTGAAGGCAGAAACAAGTTTTGCCTTCTACTAGTATCTGGCATAGTGCCTGAGAGGGATTACTCACCCTGCAAGTGTCATCTGCTCTTTTCTGTTTGTGGGGGACTGATAAGAGGGTCCCATGCATCTGGCCTAACAGGGGGAGCATGGGGGAGCGGGCAGCATGTGGTACAGAAACTTCCAGTTCGTACAGATGATGGAGTTCCTGAACCCCTTCTTTAGCAGAGAGGTCAGGTTTGTAGCTGGCCAGTAGAGAGACAGCATGGCTTTTGGGATGAGGTTGTTCTGAGTGAAGACACTGCTCTTACTGTACAATGGAGGCCAGAGCTGACAGCTTTATGCTTGTTCCCATGGGCCTCCATTTTCCTTATCTGTAAAATGGGGAGAAAAGTGCCTACTTCTTAGGATTATTGTTTAGACATCAGTGATTTGCTGATGTATGTATTTATCCAGCTCCAGAAATGCTTGTTCTGCAGTGAGTGAGGTCTTAGCCCAGAGTTTGTGTGGTCTCCTAGAGGCCAGAGCTAGGTGCACAGTAAATGGAGAAGGAGCTACAGAGGAGTCTTGTGGTGCCATTGTGAATCCCTAGATCTCTAGTAATTCAGAGAGAGAGATAGAGGTGCAATGAGGAAGGGGTGTCTGTCTTCTGGCGACTTTGAGGTACATCATGTCATAGTTCATAGACCCTCTCTTTCATAGTCTCAGCTACTCTGGACTTACCAGGAGGATTTTTTTTTTTTTCCAGTATTGGGGCTTGAACCCAGGGCCTTCACCTTGAGCCACTCCACCAGCCCTATTTTTTTTCATCAGTCCTATTTTTGTTAAGGGTTTTTCGAGATAGGGTCTTGCGAACTATTTGCCCAGGCTGGCTTTGAACCGAGAGGATCTTTTTTTGTAACAATGTCCCTACCCAGCTAAAAACCTCATTGGCTGATTTCTGGGACAAGGGCTATGGGCCCTACGTGACTTGGCTCCTCCCCTCCTCTGATCTCATCTTCTGCTGTTCTCTCCCATGCTCACCAGATTCCTACCTTCTATTCCTGGAAACCCACCACACCACCTCAATGCCTTGCCACTTGCCAGAGCCTGTCTAGAAGGCTCTGTGCCCGCACCTGTGCTGGCTGGCTTATTATTCAGGGCTCAGTTCCAATTTTCTTCTCCTAGAGGGGTACCCTCCTATCACAACTCCGCAGTCTTCATTACCTATTACCGCATCAGTCTGCCTCATTCACATATTCATCAGGCAGTTATTGGCTTCATGGCATGTTCTAGCCCTAGGGATGTCTAAGTGAACAAGATAGAGCCCCCTTTAGCTGTAGCCCCTAGTACTAGTCTAATATTTGCTGACCAAAAGAGGAGTTCTTGGTTTTGTTTTTTTGCATTGGTCATAACTAGTGTGTGATGCAGCCAGATTTGAATCTGGACCTGACTTCCCTCCTAGTACTTCAGCCCCCACTCCAAAGCCTGACTTTTTTTTTGGTGGGAGTTGGGTTTGAACTCGTGCTTGCTAGGCAGGTGCTCTACCATATGAGCCATTACAGCCCTATTTCCTGAGGGTTTTTTTTTTTTTTTTTTTGTGGTACTGGGTTTGAACTTAGGGCCTACACCTTGAGCCACTCCTCCAGACTTTCTTTGTGATGGGTTTTTTTTTTCAAGATAGGATTTCATGAACTGTTTGTCTGGGCTGGCATTAAATCTCTATCCTCCTGATCTCGGCCTCCTGAGTAGCTAGGATTACAGGTGTGAGCCACGGGTGCCTGGCCCTACCTCCTGACTCTTTTACTGACTTTGCCTGTGACTGTTTCTTTGCTAGTTCTGTTCTCCCTGCCTGGTGATCACTAAATCACAGAGTAGGGCTAATGGGAAGAATTTCAGGCTGGGGACGCGAGAAGTCTGTGTTGAAATCCTGCCCCTGCTGTGTGATCTTTAAATGTTTTTTGCTTTTGTGGGTCTCTGATGTCACATTGCCAAAGTGGGAAGAAAATGTAGGGCAGAACTTATGCATGAGGGGTTGGTACCACCAACCACTGATTCTACTCTGGGCATCTCCCTGGCTTCCCATTGCATGCTGTGTCCTGGGGCTAGTCCCTACCCTTCCAGGGACCTCTGCCCATGCCTTGCCACCCAGAGCAGCTCTGAGCTCCTGCTTGGCCGATTCATAAGTTAAGCCCTTTCTTCAGGGGATTACCCCACCATCCACAAGGGCTTGGAGGTGGGCACCATGCCACATCTGGTGCCCCCTCCACCTACCATCTGACAGCTGGGACCCTTTCCCTAACTCTGGCTCCTGAATGTTTAGACAGGACTTAGGAACAGAGTTAGTGAGCAGCAGCTGGAATTGTGTGTTTCCCCCACCCTCTAGTACCTCTAGCAGACCACCCAGTTTCTGGATCTCAGTTTTCCTGGTGTCCCTGCACCCTGCATGGGAGGTAGGGTTGGTAGATGGGTGGGATCAGTGGTAAAGGACCTGGAGCAGCCCCTCCTGCCTGGAACCACTTGGCCACTGGAGGGCAGGCGGACTTGTATTGAGGGCCTGCATCTCCTTAGTGTTGGGCTAAGGTGAAGGCGCAGTACAACGCCCTGGGAAGATTAGGGTAGGGGGTGGAGGTTAGGGTCGGGAGCTGTATCCTGAGGTCATGGTGGTGTTCCTGGGCCGCCACCTTCCAGCACTTCTTGAGCTCTTTAAGAAGGGTGAGTGGGTGTGGCTGGCGGTGGTGGTGGTGGTGGTGGTGGTGGTGGTGTTGGTGTGGGGGGGGGGAAGTGTTGGGGGCAGGGGGGGTGGGTTGCCCAGACAGCTCCCTCTGCCAGACCCTTAGGTAAAATGGGAGATCAAAGCCAGGAAGAATAACAGGATGGGGGTTGGAGATTGGTTAGGAGGCAGGCAGTCTCTGTTTGCAGTGGTGTCTTTGTCCAGCGGCTTTGTTGATGCCTTTGTTGGTGCTGCTTGTGCTTGGGAGGAGGGGCCCAGGTATCTCTGACCTTGAAACCTCCCAGGCTAGACTGCCTCCCTGCTGGGATACCCACATGATACTGGATACAGCCCAAAACCCCAGTTCAGGGAGAGGGCAGCCCCCTTCTGAGTCATCCCAGTGATAATGGAACAGCCAGGAAAGTATTACCTCCTGGAAGTTTGGGAGCTCATGGGTGGAAATGTGTTTGAATGGAGACATTTTGGAGGGAGAGACCTGTGCCCCATCTTTCTCCTAGGAAATGGGCTTTCAGTCCTGGATTTTGACAGGAGGGGGCCATAGCTTCTTGGAGTTTCAGAGGCCAGGGGCCCTCTCTGGGAATCTGGAGTTTAGTTCTGACTCAGTCTGACTCCTATTTGCTAGGCAAGGCCTTTGCCATTTGAGCCTGTTTCCCCACTTGTAAAGACAGGGGATTGGGAGTTGGGAGAGCCAGTCTGAGGTCTGTTGAGGTACCTTGTAGCTCTGACCTGGTGGGGTTCTGGCAGCTTCCTTGGGCCAAGAGCCCTGGCTGTTGAAGAGTGGGCTGAAGGAGGGGGAGTGGCAAGTAACTAAACTGGAGACCCTGATCCTGGGGCATGGCACTTTAAAGGGCTTGTTTTGTTCCTACCCCTCTACAAGGTTCTGCCAAGGTCACATGACCCTCCCAGCACTTTTGCTTATGTTGTGGGTTTCATTTAAAGGGGGCCAGTGCTGCAAAGTGCTGACACAGCCCCCCAACCCCAGGATTAGATGTCCAGCCCCTCCGTGGGTGGAGACTGTAACAGGATCCTTTGTAATGGATCCCTGGCTTCCCTGTACCAGGGGTCAGGGCGTTCAAGAAGAGAGGGCATACCTGGGACTCTTCCCCCAAGAGGCTGAGCATCCTGGGCTGGGGGCAGAGGAGCCTGGGTCCCTCTTGTCCCCCTCCTATGCCCATTCTTCCATGAAGGGGCAGCCCTATGGGTAAGTAGGGGACCCAAGAGGTTATATCCCTGGCCTATCCTTCTTGATGGTTTTCTGGCAGTCTGGTTACGACTCCTGCCAGCTACCACTCCTTCCTGGTTTCTTATGGTATCTTCTCCCTGGACCTGTTTTCCTTTAAAGGGAGGTTTGTGGTCTGGAGACAGAAATGTATTTGCTATGAGCTATGTATATTAGGGGTGTCTTGTGTGGGGGTTCCAAGTGATGTGGTAAATGCAGTTGTATACTTAGATACTGTTTGTGTACGTACAGAATGGGGACTCTGTTGGGTAGATACGTGGAGGCTGAGAGTGGGTTACATTTATGAGTTTGTACTTGGGTGTTTTTATGTATACATCTCTGAAGCCTGTGGGTGCTGTGTGCATACACTGGGTCTGTGTGCTTTTGGTGTGGTGTGAATGCTCATGTATGTACCCTTGGCTGTAGTTTGTGTATGTACATGGAAGCTGTGTATATTGAGTTCGTTCCCCAGAACTATGGGTGTATGTCTGGGCTGGGGAGAGTGGGCATTGTATGTGTGTGCAGGGATCATGTGCAGTCTGGGTGCCTTTGCATCTTCAGGGCCCATATGCTTTCAGGCTTTATTTCACTTCCTCTTCCATCACACTAGGCTCTGCCAAGGCTGAGACTGACAAACGTCAGAGTACAGGGTCCGGACAGGGACCAGTGTCTGTAGTGGATGAGCACCAGGACAATGTCTTCTTTCCCAGTGGGCGAGCGCCTCACCTGGAAGAGCTGCACACGCAGGCCCAGGAGGGGCTCCGCTCCCTACAGCACCAAGGTAACCCCTGGCTTCTCCCTCCAGTGCTACTGTCAGCACCTGAGGTCAGGAACCTAGGCCAACACACCCTCCTGGTATCTTCTAGAAAAGCAGAAACTGAACAAAGGTAGCTGGGACCATGGAGACACCCAGAGCATCCAGGTGAGCTCTGCTGCCCAGCTGAATCCCATTCCTCCCTCAATTCTTTGACCTCTGGCAAGTATGGCTTTGGACCTTTCTGGTTTGTTTCCTTCCTATATTTCAAAGGACTAGACTAAATGACCCCTCAGGGCTAGTTCAGGCTTGCTGCAGCTAATGCCTGCTCAGTGCTGTGTGATGCTGGGGAAATCTGAGTGAATGTTCCAGTGGGAAGTCCTGAGAAGGCAGCCCTCAGGCCAGGGTCTGACTCCTCTCCTTCCAACAGTCCTCCCGGGCAGGGCCAGATGAAGACAGCATCTCCTTCTGTAGCCAGACCACATCCTACACAGCTGAGAGCTCCACTGCAGACGATGCTCTCTCCATCCGCTCGGAGATGATCCAGCGCAAAGGTGTCTGCTCTCTGGCTGGGATTCTTGGGCAGGGGAGAGGGGTGGTGGGCCCATCATATCCCAGCACTCGCAGCTTCCCTTTTTACTCCTTTTTTTTTTTTCCAGTACTGAGGTTTGAACTCCTCTTCTTCCTCCTAATCCAGAGTTCTCCATGACTCTGTGATCCAATGATTGCAGGAGACAGTAACCTGGAGTCTTCTTGGAGATTCATGTGCACATTAACTGTAAAACAGTTAAGAGTTGGGAAACCTCAGCTGGATGCCCGTGACTCACACCTGTAGTTGTAGCAAATTGGGGCAGAGATCGGGAGGATTGCAGTTCAAGGCCAGCGTAGGCAAATAGTTCATAAGACCCAATCTCCAAAATAACCACAGCAAAATGGACTGGAGGAGTGGCTCAAGTGGTAGAATGCCTGCTTTGCAAGAGCAAAGCCCTGAGTTCAAACCCCAGTCCCACCAAAAAAAAAAAAAAAAAAGTTGGGAAACCTGGATTTGCAGCTGCTTAGCTCCTGTGTGACCATGGGCAAACCCCGTGCTTCTGTTTGGTCTGTAAAAACCAAAGGATAAGCACACGTACCTACTGGAATGAATGCTAAGTGTTTATAGCACGCTGACATAACGAGGGGTCCACTAAATAATAACAAGCATGTACTCACTGGAAACGATCATTTACTTAGTAGCAGAACTTCCAGAAGTCTTACAGAAGCCTCTAGCTTTGCCCACACCTACTTGATTGTGGAAGTCTTTTGTTTTTATTTTTATGGAAATCTTTTTGCCCCGAGTTCTTACTAGTATTTTACCAAAGTACTGTTCTGTGGAAGTTGCCTTGTTCTTCTAATGGGTTTTCTTCCCCTGGACTGACCCTCAGGTTCCACCTTCCGACCCCATGACTCATTTCCCAAATCCTCTGGAAAGTCAGGGCGCCGGCGGCGGGAGCGGCGGAGCACAGTGCTGGGGCTGCCGCATCATGTGCAGAAGGAACTCGGTGAGCCCTGGCAGGCTGGTGGTGGTGGACGGGAAGCCTGGGTCAGCTCACCTCTACTGACCCCATCTCCTTGTTCATTCCAGGCTTGCGGAGTGAGCGTGAGGCACCAAGTACTCCTCGGCCTCCTGGCCCACGGGATGCTGTCCGCATCCCCACTGTGGATGGCTGCCCTGCCAGTTTGGCATTAGGGACGGGGGCCCGAGTGTCCCTGCAGGCACTAGAGGCAGAGGCTGGGCCTGATACAGAAACCATTCTGCAGCGCCACATCGACCGTGTCTATCGGGATGACACCCTCATTGGCAGGTCCACAGGGGCCCGGCCCCCACCATTGATCCGGCCCATGTCACTAGCAGTGCCTGGACTGACAGGAGGGGCAGGGCCACCAGAGCCCCTTAGCCCAGCCATGTCTATCTCACCCCAAGCCACCTACTTGTCAAAGCTGATCCCACATGCTGTGTTGCCACCCACAGTGGACGTGGTGGCCCTGGGCCGTAGCAGCCTGCGCACACTGAGCCGCTGCAGTCTACACTCGGCTAGTCCAGCCTCTGTTCGCTCGCTGGGCCGCTTCTCCTCACCCTTGAGTCCACGGCCCCGCAGTCGCCATCCTTCTTCCTCCAGTGACACCTGGAGCCACTCTCAATCCTCTGAGACCATCGTGTCTGATGGTTCTACCCTCTCCTCTAAGGGGGGTTCTGAGGGACAGCCAGAGGGCTCTGTGGCTAGCAATAACGTGGTGCCCCTTCCCCAAGGGGGCAGCGGGAGGGGCTCCCCCAGTGGGGGAGCACTGCTGAGGCGTCAGACACAGTCAGCATTCGGAGTAGTGGGCAGTCGTCTGGCCGGAGTGTGTCCTTACGGAAGTTGAAACGGCCTCCACCCCCTCCCCGCCGGACCTACTCCCTCCATCAACGGGGCTCAACAGCACCTGATGGGCCCTTAGGGTTGCCACCCAAGCCTGAGCGGAGGCAGCAGCCACAGCTGCCCCGGCCACCCACCACAGGAGGATCAGAAGGGATGGGAGCAGCACCCTGCCCACCAACCTCTACAGGCTGGGCATCTGGCTTGTCTCCAAGTGGCTCCCGACGCCCTCCACGGTCCCCAGAACGGACACTATCACCCTCCAGTGGATACTCAAGCCAAAGTGGTACCCCGACCCTCCCTCCCAAGGGTCTCGCAGGTGCTCCTCCTTCCCCTGGCAAGGCCCAACCCCCTAAACCAGAGCGGGTTACATCCCTTCGATCTCCTGGAGCCTCTGTCTCCTCTTCCCTCACGTCTCTGTGTTCTTCTTCCTCTGACCCTACCCCTTCAGACCGCTCTGGCCCACACATGTCAACCCCTTTGGTTGACAGGTTTGTCATACCTCCTCATCCTAAGGTGCCTGCCCCCTTCTCCCCACCTCCCTCAAAGCCCAAGAGCCCTAACCAAGCTGCCCCTGCTCTGGTTCCTGGGATCATCTCTACCACTGATACCAGCCCTGAAGCCCCTCCCACTCCTCAGACATCCCTGACCCCACCCCAGGAGTCTCCTGTTGTCTCCAAAGACCAGTCACCCCCACCTTCCCCACCTCCGTCTTATCATCCACCCCCACCACCTAGCAAGAAATCAGAGGTAGTTGAGGCCCCATCTGTCCCAGATACTGCAGAGGAGCCCCTTCCAGATCCCAGCTGGCCCCCGCCCCCACCCCCTGCCCCTGAGGAGCAGGACCTGTCCATGGCCGACTTTCCCCCACCTGAGGAGGCCTTTTTTATGGCTAGCCTTGATCCTTCAGAGCCCAGTAATGCCCTGGCTGCTGCTCAGAGCCAGCCCCAGGGTACCCCAGCCCTTCCTCCAGATCCACCAGCCCCTCCTCCAGCCATTTCTAGCCCTGAGCTTCTGGCCAAGCTTTCTTCCAAGGAGCCTGTGGGCTGCGGCAAGAGTAGTGGAGCTCCCAGAGAGGATGCTGGTGTGCCCTTGGTCACACCCTCGCTCCTGCAGATGGTGCGGCTACGTTCTGTGGGTGCTCCCACCGGGGTTCCAACCCCAGCACCAGGGCCATCAGTCCCCCAGAAGCCGCTGCGAAGGGCCCTGTCAGGGCGGGCAAGCCCTGTGCCTGCCCCCTTATCTGGGCTCCATGCTGCTGTCCGGCTCAAGGCCTCCGGCCTGGCTGCCGGTGAGAGCCTTGGGAGCGCCCAGCCCAATGGACCCCCTGAAGCAGAGCCAAGGTCTCCCCAGTCCACTGCCTCCACAGCCAGCTTTATCTTCTCCAAGGGCACCAAGAAACTGCAGCTCGAGCGGCCTGTATCCCCTGAAGCCCAGGCTGACCTGCAGCGGAGTCTGGTGGCTGAACTTCGGAGCATCTCAGAGCAGCGGCCACCCCAGACCCAGAAGCCTAAGGCTCCCCCACCTGTGGCTCGCAAGCCGTCTGGAGGAGTCCCCCCACCCTCTCCCAGTTTTCCTCGGGCTGAGTCTCTTCCTGCTCCTTCCACCAATGGGCTCCCACATACTGAGGACAGGACTAAGGGGGAGCTGGCGAAGAATGGAGGTGTGCAGCTGGCTGGCACAGAGAAGATGGGTACCCCCAGCTCAGGTACAGTGGGCAGTGATGAGTGTGGGTTTCATTGGCTATGGTGGGAAATAAGCATGTGAAGTCCTACCATTGGGATCTGTAAAACTGTTCTGGTCTTAGAATGCCTGGGACAAATGTACTGTCACCCTTGATGAGCTACCATGGAGGGGAGGGCAGGGCAGGGACAGAGGGCTAGGGAGAGAGGGCTGGATGGCTTTGGTGTCAGATCTACTGAGTACATTGCAGTTTTGCCACATTACCTCCCTTCTCAGCTATTTTGTGAAGTGAAGCACTGACACATGCATTGGAGAGTCCCAGTAGAGTCCAGCTCAGTGCTGCTGGTGGGGTGTCATTAAAGTGATAATATGTCTTGGGCTTAGTGTCAGAATCAAGCTGGGATGCCCCTTGAAGTGTCTTTTTTCCCCCTCCACAGACCCACAGAGAGAGCTGGTGTGACCACCACTCACTGGCACTGCTGACCCATCCAGGAATACAATCTCTCAGGGACCTGAGCAGCTCCAAGGACGAAAGGAAACAGCAGACACAACCTATGAGAGGATGCCTGCAGCCTTAACCTCCACAACCTTTGACGTTTATGCAAGCCTGGTGTTGCCCGTCCTCCAAGTCACCCAGCTCTCATGCCTTTTCCTAAGAGGATTTGCCTCCAGTAGCTGCTGTCTCAGCCTTGGCCTTAGCCTCATCTTGAAGGAGGTAGCTGGTGGGAGTGGGTGGCTGTGCCCCTGCTGGCTGAGGCCACAGAGGTGGCAGCAGAACACTTGAGTTTATTTTGTTTCATTTCCAAATCATGCACATAACTGTAGTCCAGAATCTAAGCACTTTTACAAAGTGGTCACATATTCATTCTCCAGGGCTCCTGAAACCACATTCCAAGGGCCTGTTTACATGGTGGCTGCATCAGTCCTTGCCTCCCCCAATCCAGTTTGCTCCTTTTCTTAGTTCTTGGAGATGGGCAAGTCACTCCCACAGGCTTCCCCAGGCTGGGGGCAGGAGTGGGGCTGTGGAATTCCAAAGCACAAAAGGTACAGTGGAGGCTAGCTTTCCTGTGCCTCAACTTACCATCGACCACCCTCCTGCCTTCCAGTTCTGCCAGGTGCTCCGTGTGGGGGACAAGAAGTGGGAGACTGCCAGGACCCAAGTAGGTGGGAGGAAGAACAACCAGAGGGGAGGTCCTAGGCACGCCTAGTCCTCAGAAAAAAAACAAAAAAAACCCCCTCAGACCAGAGTGGGGAACTTCTCAGGGGGCCCTTGGCATGCTGAGCATCTGCCCCTTCTTTGGATTGGCTTGGGGTAGATGGGCACAACTTCAGAGGCAGGAGCCCAAGGTCTGTGCCCCTTTCAGCTTGGCAGGGAGCAATGAGGGAGTGGGAGGAGGGTGAGTCTGGCATTGAATCCAGATCTGGTCCTTAGGCTTCTTTCTCTGTCCTTTCTCTTTATTCTTTGGTGCAAGTCCTTTGTGCAGCTGCCTTTGATGTGGGTGGTTCCACTGGGGGGAGCTGACATAGAGTGGCAAGAATGGGAAGCCAAAGGTGCACTTTACTTCAGACTCTTCCCTAGTCAATGAGGGAACATCCACTGCTCCTGGGGAGCAGGCTGGATGGTTGTCTTCAATGTCAGTCTCTGCTACTGGCCTCTTCAGGAATTTCGGTGACCTTTCTGTTTTCAGCCTGTACCACCTATCTAGGTAAAGTGGCTTCCTTATCTATTGTGGCTGCACAGGGCTGGCCCCAGAACTCCCTCCACAGCAGTATGGCAGCCACCCAGGGCCACTTCTTGATTTTCTTTCAACAGTGACTTTTTTTGAGTCTAGCAAGGAACCTTGCTTTTAGCTTCTCCACTACCAAGAATAATGACATGCTACTCCCTGCCACTAACAACCTGGTAAGAGCTTGGGACATAGGGTGCTGGGTGTAGTGGTGTAGGCCTGTAACCTCAGTACTTGGGAGGCTGAGGCAGGAGGATCTTGAGTTCTAGGCCAGCCTGCACTACATAATGAGATCCTGTCTCAAGCAAAACAAAAAATAGAGCTGGGGACCTAACTGGTATGTGTGAAAACCAAGTCTCCCCTGATCCTCACTGGGGCTTCTTCATCTAATCACTATCTTTTCCCTGTGGCTACAAGCCAACATCCTTCCCTTGGCCCACGGGTGGAGGGGAGTGAGCTGCTGTGGAGAGAACTGGGGAAGGAAGACAATCGATAGGCTTTGTCCTGACCCAGGCCCTGTGGTAACCTCAAAGCTCCTGTGGCAGAAGGCAGCCTGACTTCTGTCCGTCCCTCCTGCCCCTCTGATTTTAGTTATCCTCAGTTAGGATGTTCTGTGCTTGTTTCCCCATCAGGTTGGCCAGTGTACAAAGGAGAAGGGTGAATCTGGAAGAGGCAACCCCTCTTTGTCCTCTGGGCTAAATGAGCTTGACTTTGTGCAAATGGAGAGACCAAAAGCCTCTGATTTTTAATTTACGTACAAATGTTAAAAGATAGAAATATATATATATAACACATATATATATATATATAAATTTCTGAGTCTTTGGTATGTCTATACAATCCATTCCCTCTGCCCTGAAGCTTGAGTGAGACACATGAAAAAAACTGTGTTTCATTTAAAGGTATTAATTAATAAATGATTGAAACTTAGCTGTGACTGCTGTTTCCTCCTGTCCCTCACCATGTTAAATGGGTCATATGTGGACAACGAGTAGTAAGTTAGTAATAGTGGGATATGTAGTAGTAAGATTTGAGGAGAGCACACGTCATACAATAATGTGAAAACAATCACCAAGCTAAAGAAACACAAAAGGACCTGGCTGCTGCTTCATGGGGAACGGCCTGGGCAGTGATCTACATTTAGAAGGACCTAAAGCTGGGCCTCTTCTCTTTACTTAGTACTGCCAAAGGGAAAGCCAGCTTTTCCCCCATTCATCCCATTACAGGGCCAAAACTGCAAGCTAAAGCAACCCCAGGATGGGTAAGGAGTGCAGCAGCTGCCTTCCACTTGAGCTCTCCCCTGAGATGGTCCAGTTCTCAAATAATTTTATTTGAATATGATAATGATGGTTAGTGATCCAATTGAGATGCCTTATGGAGAAGTACCCCACCCTCTCTGAAGAAACCATCACACTGTGCCATTCCATTCTACCGGCTGCTAACTACACACAGCTGGTTTAGGGAGTGCCCAACCTAGCTGGATCAAGGGAAATTCCAGGAGCCCTGGGGCAGACACTCCGCCCCCACCCCTCTGCCTGCCGTGGAAAGCCTCAGGGTAGGCAGGCTTTGAGAAAGCTGCCAACCTTTGGTAGCTTAGCTTGGTAGACCACTAGGTTCTCTGTTTTCCCTTCTCTTCCTTTTAAATCCCACAATTTCCTGTTGGGGAGAAGCCGTAATTAGCCCAGTGCAGGCACTACATCCAGCTAGAGGCACAGCTGCTGGGATAACTTCAAGAAAACCTGGTAACCAGGGTTTTTCCAATTACAAGGATTGTGGCATAAATTTCTTCTGAGTTATACTGAAACCAGACTTCTCAAGTCAGCTGCCAAGGCGAGAAGGTTGAACTGAGTTCCCTGCTGTTACCCAGCCTTCTTACTCCTCGAGGGGAGGGTGTCAAGTCTCTCACTATAGTCAGATAACGGTGATCCCAAATTGTAGATAAGTGAGCTCTTCCTTAGCAAGTTCTGCCTTAATAAGAGTTCCAGACCTGCTCCTTCAGAGTCCTGAGGGATGGGCAAATGGGTAGCGGAAGGAGCTGACTTGAGGAGACAGCAGATGATTCCGGAGGGTGGGCTGGCTAGCCAATGTTACCCCCCTTCAGTGATTTACAGGAGATGTGCCCCAGCTTGGTTGTAAAGTCTGTTTGCTTCCACTGTGCAATGCACTCTTCAGAAATCTTAAAGTCGGCCTAGACAAGATAGACAAAAAAATTATTGTTATGGTGGTGGAACCATGAGAAAACTCTTGTGGGCTGATGGAGTGGCTCAAGGGGTAGAGAGCCTACCTAGCAAACATGAGGCCCTGAGTTCAAACCAGAACTGCAAAGACAAACAAAAACTCTTGTACTACTATTAGTGTAACCTGGCTCAATTTTTCTAAAGAGAGCAGTTTGCCAAAGGCCTCAAGTTCCTGTCTGTTCACAAACATGTTTAGAGATTTAGTTTAGGAAAATAATCATGGCACTGGTGGAGTGGCTTAAGTGATAGAATGCCTTCCTAGCAAGCACAAAGCTATGAGTTCAACTCTCAGTACTGCCAAAAAAAACAAAAAAACAAAAAAACATGAATAAATACAAAGACCACCATAGCAATACCCCCAACCCCCAACCACCCTTTTTTGCTAAGGATCAAACCCAGGGCCTTGGGACGCTGGGCAAGGCCTTTACCACTACCCAGCCTATCATAGCATTCTAATAGTGAAAAACTGAGAACCCCAATGTTTAGTAAGGTTCTAACTAAATTACGATAACTACTATAGAGTACAGTGTGATCTGCCTCACTACTTAAGGTAGGGAAAAGTTTTCAGGCATAAAGTAAAATTTAAAAAGCAGAGTAACATTTAGTATGAATCAAGCTATATTATCTCTTTGTATAGCAAAAAACAAGAAGGAAATACTTCCTAATTTTTTTTTTTTTGCCCTTTTAGACATTTTCTACAAAGAAAACATTTTATAGCTAGAAGGAAGTGATGCATAAAGCCTACAAAACCAGAAAGGAAAACATTTGCTACATGCAGAAGGGTAGAGGAAGGGAAGACATTCTCTCTCTAAATGCTTTCTGAAGCACATCTGATTGAGGAAATAGGTATTAACTAGAAAATGTCACATATGAATGTTAGTTCCAAGGAGGACCATTTTTTGCTATGTTCATTGATGTTGCACAGTGCCTGACACATATATTACGGACCTCATATGTGTTGAATGAATGAATGAATGAATAAATTCACTGATCACTGAAGCAGGTCATATGTGAGCCAGTGTTTAGAAGGCAAGAAGAGAATGAATGCTCTGAGTTCAAGATGGGAAGAAAGCACCCTAGTTGGGTTTTGATTCTGGTTCCATCACTTTATTTTTTTGCCGTGGTGGTAGGAGATCCAATCCGGAGCCTTGTACTGCACTGAGCTACACCCCTAAACCCTAGTCTCACCACTTCTGGTGACCTTGTGTACCTTTGGCAAGGATCCTGGCAGGTGAAATGGGGATAATCTCCATTTGCTACTGACACAGACTGAAGATCAAATGAAGAAGTGTCTGAAGTCCCTCAGTCGCTCAGTGTGTCAATGCTCATACATGAGGGGTCCTTCTGACTCCTTCATGGCCCTCACATTTGGGGAGGTCAATGAAGGAAGAGGAGCTCAGATGCAGGAAGTCCCAACTGGGAAACAGACAGCTTCAGATTCAGTAACTGAGCAGGTTGGGAACAGAGACCAGGCAGCCCAAGCAAGAGGGGGTGAGGGAGGGGGAGATAGGGGACAACAGTGTTTTACCTGCAATTTCTCAAAGACTTTCTTCTTGGGCTTGAGCTCCTCATCTGGTTGGCCCTTCTCATAGCCCTTCACAAACACTCGTTCACCAGGAGCTGAGCCTGAAGGAGGGTCCAGAGGTTCAACCTGGCGGCTTACTCCTTCTCTGGGAAGATACGCAGGATAAGGAAAGGTGAGGCTATGATGGTTTCCAACAGTTGTGGAGGCCAAAGCAATCTGGGCTTTTGCACAGGAATCCTAATGGGATTTAGGATATCCTCAGTTCCATGGACCAGGAGGTCCTCGTTGCTTTACCTCATTTAGACATCACAAAGCTTTACTAACTGGGCCTCTACTGAATTCCTATGTCTGGAAAGATACTAAAGTCTGGGTTTCTAGGGGAAGAAGTGTGAAATAACCTAGCAAGGACTTAACAGCCATTCAGAACGGGATTTGAATCATGGCTCCAACTCTTACTAGTATTGAGATTGGGCATGTATATACCTCCATTTTTATTTTAAGAAAATTATCTTTAGGTAAAGCTACATCCATAATACTTGTACAATAACTCCTTCAGGCTTCATCATTTGGCATCAATGAGAAAGAGGCACATTTTCTTAGGGCTTCCATCTGGCATATGATGATATGAGCCAACTCCCTACTCTTGTTGGCCTCCCCAGGTCCTGGCCCCACCCCAAGTCTCCACTCACCTAGAAGCACAGAGCAGCATGCCTTGGGACTCTACTCCTCTCATCTTCTGGGGTTTCAGATTGCACAGCACCACCACCAGTCTGTCCTGTAGTTCCTCCTTGGGCACAAATTGCACTAGGCCGCTCACCACAGTTCGTGGTTCAGCTTCTCCCACATCAATCTTCTCTATGTATAGGCTGTCTGCATCTGGGTGCTGCCAGTAAGGGATGTCAGGTTGGAGAGTATCACAGTGGAGTAGATCAGAGGCCTGGTGAACTGTCACCAGAAAGGGGCATCTGCATCTTACAGAGCCCCCTGGAGGAATCCCCTAGAGTTAACTATTTCTAAATCCCATATGGCAGCTAGAATGTACCTTCAAAGCCTGTTCTTCTATTCTCCAAGAGGCTAGATTTGAGGAAATAAACCTATTTGTGGGAGACTCTAACAGAGGTTAAATGGTCTGGAAAAGTGGAGGCTACCATGACAGCCCTCATACTGTAACACCAGGTCCCAGGTGACTGGGAGATGGGAGTGGACCATCTGAGGCAGAAGCATAAGCAGCCTCTTCAAAAGAGTCTATATAGTGGTTTGGGATGGTTAATTCAATACAGTGAAAAGTAAATCAGTGCTTGGGGTGTGGGGTGTGGGAGGAGGTCCAGAGTAATGGTCCCTGGCCAGTGGTTACATGACCTCTTTGGGAAAAAGGAAGTCCATCTCCCTCCACCACTGTCTGGGGGCAAAGTGGCTGATCAAAGAACTGCAGCTAGTCCAGGCAAACTGGTACAGACCAGGTAAGTCCACTAGACTGGACTTAATGGATAGTCACGTTCCCTCTTACTAACTTCTGCTTCTCACTCTGAGTTCCTGGCTGTGTTTCATGAGGTCCAAAGGCAGTGATGGCTAGGGAAAGCCTGATGCCTGGAATTAGATATCTGGGTTCTGACTTGAAACATGACCTTAGGGATGTTAATTCCCCTGTCCAGGCTAGGTTTCCTCCAGATGGAAACATACAAACCTCGACCCCTGTCTGCCTCTCTGGAACATGGTGAAAAATAAGTACCTTCTCCACACTGATGATTTTCCCTACGCGGATATCCAGCCGGGATGGGATGACCTCCTCTGGTTCTGAATTCTTGGCAGGGCCTCTGGCAATGGGCTCTGGGAATGAGGAGAACACCATGAAGTCAGGACTCTCCTCTTCCCCAGGTCACTGCTGATCCCACCATTGGGATAGAACATTGAGATTAGGTAGGATTTAGTGGAGAATCTCTAAAACACACACTGAGTTATACTTCTTTAAAATTGGGTTGGCAACCTTTCAAAGGTGACATGCCAGATTTTCATCTAGTCTCTCCCTCCATTCTTAGGGTAGAGTAGAAGGGACTGTAGTAGCTTTGCCACCTGTGGGTGTTTCTACTCATACAATCCACATAGAATTTACTGAGTCTTTTCTGGGAGGTATTATGCCAATACCTCAAGCATCATGGATAAATGGGTGAGCAACTAAGATCTGGACAGAACACACAGATGGAAACTGGGAGAATCTAAAGATGAGCTCCTCGAAGAAGTCCTGCAGGCTCTGCCTGAGCAGCTGTGAACACAGCATTGCCATGTGTACTAACTGGGGATATCACTCTCCTACCCAAGAGGCAGATTTAGTGAACACAGGCTAGAAGGATCTCACACCAGCATCTTTAGCAGTGCTGGTGCAGCAGGATGTAACCACCTCATAGTATCAACCCAACCAAATCAAGGAGTCAATGGGATAAGACGTTCCTGCACTTCAATTTCTGAGCCCTCAATTGAAGACAGATGTATTTCTGAGGCCCACTGACAGGCTCTTCCTCTGATGCTGTCACCGGCTCCCTCCCTGACTCACCCTTCCCATTCCCAGCTGGCCTTACTCTGCTTGGAGGGATCTGGGTAGGCAGCACTGGCCAGCTTCTTCAGGGCAGGGGTATTAAACTTTTCCCGAATGGGATCCAGCAACTTGTTCAGGGCAACTTCAACAGAATTCTTTAGGTCTCCAGGGTGTACAATCTGCAGAAGAGAAGAAGACCTGGTAAGTTTAAGACCGGAACAGGGCACTGAAATGCACTAAGAACATACATAAAGGATTCAGGGAATATTTTCTCAGCAGTCTTCATCCTCCTGACAATCTTGTGAGATGGGTAGAGCAGAGGAGGGAAAATAGATTCACAAAGGCTAACTAACTTGTCTGAAATCCAGCTTTTTTTTTTTGGTGGGACCAGGATTTGAACTCCGGGCTTCATGGGCTCTACTACTTGGGCCAATCTGCCAGACTTTTTTTGTGTTGGGTATTTCTGAGATTTTTCCCTGGGCTGGCCTTGAACTGTAATCCCCCTGATCTGTGCCTCCCAAGGGTTTAGGATTACAGATGTGATCCACTGGCACCTGGCCTTTTTTTTTTTCTTTTTTTCTTTTTTGAGAAGGGGTCTTGTCATATAGTCAAACTTACAATCCTCCTGCCTTAACCTCCTGAATGCTGGGTTTGTAGATGTGTACCCCCATACCCAGCTTGAAATCTAGATCATTTGACTTTGAATTCCATACTAACTTGAGGGATTCCACTTCTTCTTCTTCTTTTTTTTTTTGGGTGGTACTGAGGCTTCAACTCAGGGCCTCATGTTTGCTAGGCAGGCACTCTACAGCTTGAGCCACTCCACCAGTCCCTAACATGAAGGCTTTAAGAGGCTGAATGTAAAAGTTAGTCTAACTCTTCTAGCCTTTTTATTTATGCTTGCAGTACAGCATAAAGCAAGCGCTACTCACAGGCAGAAGGGCATTCGCATAGATAACTCAAGGGCTGAAGGCTGAGAAGAAAGGATAAGGACAGGCCTGGATTAGACTTCCAGTTAGCTGTGTGACCCCAAAGCTACACATTTAACCCTCCTAAGTTTTGACTTTTTGTTTTGTTTTGTTTTAAAGGAACTAGGTATTGAATCCCAGGGTCTCAATATCCTTAGTCCAGTTTTGACTTCTTTATTTTTGGCCATATTAGGGACTGAACTCGGGGCCTGGTGCTTGCGAGGCAGGTGCTGTACCACGTGAGCCATGCCCACAGCCCTGTTTGCTTTGGTTATTTTTAAGATAGGGTCTCAAGTTTTTATGCCTGGGTCAGCATGGACCACAATAGCCATCCATCCCATGTGGCTGGGATAACAGGTGTGTGCCACCACACCTAGCTTGTTGGCTGAGATGGGGTCTCTAACCTTTGCCTGAGCTGATCCCTCTGATCCCCACCTCTCAAGTAGGTGGAATTTATAAGCGTGAACCACCATGCCTGGTTGGGCTTCTTTATTTACAAAAATGAAGGTGATAATTGCTATTATCTTGGAGCAAGAATGAGTATTGAGTCATACAGCGTGGTGAAAATGGTGAGCATTATTGGTACACGGTAGTACAGGATTAGCATCCCTAATCCAGAAAGCTGAAATCACAAATGCTCCAAGTCTGAATACCAACATGACAACACGAGGAAAATTCCACCTGTGACCTTGTGTTATAGGTTGCAGTGAAAACGCAGGCACACTAAAAAATATTGTATGAAATTACCTTCAGGCTATGCATATAAACTGTGTATGAAGCACAATTAAATTTCGTGTTCGGACATGGGTCTCATCTTCAAGATATCTCATTAAGCCACTCTGCCAGCCTCCAAAATTCTACCTTTTTATAACTAATTCTGTCCCCAGATGATCTAGACATTCTGAGAGGACATCCCTTACATATGAATATCTTTAATACAATAGTGCCAACATTTTTTTTCTGGTATTTCTTCATTTCCTTGGGAATATTTAATTTTTGCCAAATAAAAGCCTTAGGCCTACTGCTGTCCCATATGGTAGTCATTAGACTGGCGTGGCTATTTAAATATAAATGGAAAGCCAGCGCCTTGGTTACACTAGCCACAGTGTAAGTACTCAACAGCCACATATGACCACTGGCTTCTGCCTCAGGCAGTGCAGAAAGAACAAACCCATCACCACAGCAAGTGCTGTGGCCTTACTTGGCTGCAGAATTTTTTCTTCTATTCCTTCTCAGTATTCCCACAATGGACTGCTTATGGGATGAGGAGTACAAGGTGGGTTCTGTGGCCTGCTTCTGACAAGAGAGAACGGTTTCAGAGCAATGGTAGTAACACATCCCAAAATGGGTAATATAGGCTTCAAAACCTCAGAGGTCACTAGGTCTTTTCCTCCAGCTGCTGCTCAAACCCATATGCAACAGTGCCTCCAGCCGCTGCCTACACACCTACAGGGAAGGGATTACAAGGTCAAGAGAGGCAGTGCATGAGGTCATTAGAAGTTCCTGGGCTGGAGGCCTGGCTCAAGCCAGTAGAGTGCTTGCTTGCAAATGTATGAGCTCTGAGTTCAAACCCCAGTACTTGCCATTAAAAAAAAAAAAAAAAAATCCTCATGGCTGGGTATTGGTGGCTCACCCCTAGCTACTTGAGAGGCTGAGATCAAAAGGATGGCAGTTTGAGGCCAGCCCAGGCAAATAGTTTGTGATAGCCCCAATTTCAAAATAACCAGAGCAAAATGGACTGGAGGTGTGGCTCAAATGGTAGAATGCCTATTTTGCAAGTATGAAGCCCAGAGTTCAAACCTGTCACACCAAAAAAGTTCCTCCTGATGCTGAACCTAAACATGCTTCCTGTGGTCCCCACCTGTAGTCCTGCTTTAGTCCTCTGGGACCATAAGAAAAACCTAGCCCCTTGCCCATGGGAGTCCATCTTATATTTGATGATGGAACAGTTAGCTGCTTCCTAGCTAAGTATCAGTTCTTTCAACTGTGTCTTGTGACATGGTTTTTAGTCTACTCCATGTCATGAAATATCCTTCCTTTCCCAACTAACAGGATACAGGTTGTCAAGTGCAGGGGTAACTGCCCAACCCCAATGCACTCAGAAAAGGGGAGAACAAAGTGAGTCACCTCCCTGGTTCTGGACTCTGCATTTCTGATGACTTGGCCCAGTATTCCATGCTAACATTTCTAATAGCCCATCAAATTTCTGATTCAGCCTAAGATTACAGATATCCAAACTCTTATTCACTCCTTACATACTATCACTACATATTCTCTTTGTGATCTGGCCTTGCCTATCTCCCAACAATGCCCAATCTCATCTCTTAGACTCTAGTCAGACCTAACCACATGTGATTCCTTACACACCCTATTTCACCCTACTGTCTTTCCACAATTAATTCTCTCACAGACTTCTTCATGAACGCCTCTTCCTGAAGCTAAGTAGCACTCAGATATTGTCCTATTTTATGTGTGGATCATGTATAGTCATCCCTTGGTATCCACTGGAAACTGGTTCCAGGACCCTACCCCTGCCCATGTATACCAGAAGCTACAGATGCTCAAGTCTCTTCTATAAACTGGCATAGTGTTGCCCAGAATTACATGTCCTCCTGTGTACTTTACAAACCTCTAGATTATTTTTAATGTCTAGTAAAATATAAATGCTACACAATTAGTTATTGTACTTCATTGTTTATGGGATAATCAGAAGAAAAAATAGTCGTGTTGGAACAGATTTTGCTCAACAGTTGCTTGAACCCACTGGTATGGAACCTGTAGATATGGAGGATGATCTTTTATTTCACTATGTCCAGTCTTTTGGAGAAAAGGACTCACAATATTAGTTTTGTGCTATTTGCCAATCAAATTTGTGAACCACCTGAATTCTCATCTAATCATTAAAATACACAGCCCCAGACAGTATTTAAGACAGAGCTCTGTGGCATATAACTACAAACCTAGTAGACAAAGAGGAAGAGAGAGGGTTGAAAGTTTGGTTTGTCTCTAGGATTACCTGATCAGCAAAGTCCTTTTCAAGGTCCAGATAAGCAGTATAGGCTTTGTTTCCACCCCATTTCTCATCTCGAAGGATCACAAACTCTGTAAGAAGATTCATGTCAACAAACTCAGGGAATACAGCAGAGTCAGCATTTCTAGCCCACATCATTAGGAAGCAGGGTCATGGCTTAGAATTCTTTGGTACTCCTCTAGTTCAACATGTCTACCTCCATCTCTTCCCTCCCTCCTTCGCCCTCCCTCCTTTTCTTTCCTTTCCATCCTTTCTTCCTCTCTTCCCTCCCTTCCTTCCTTTTGTGGTACAGTAGATTGAACCCAGGTTATCACACATGCTAGGCAAGTGCCCCTAACCTTTTTGTTTTAATTTAATTTAATTTAATTTAATTTAATTCTTGGCAGTACTGGGGCTTGAACTCAGCCCCTCGAGCTTGCTAGGCAATGCACTCTACTACTTGAACCACTCTACCAGCTCTTTTTTGTATTGTCCATTTTCGAGATAGGGTCTCAAAAACTATTTGCCTGGGTTGACTTTGAACCACCATCCTCCTGATCTCTGCCTTCTGAGTAGCTAGGATTATAGACAGGAGTGAGCCATCAGTGTCCAGCTTTATTTTGTTTTTGAGAAAAGATCTTGACAAATTGCCTAGGTTGGTTTCAAATTATTGATCATCTTGCCTCTACCTCCTGATTGCTCCACCCTCACTTCTGACACCCCTGTCTACCCTTATATTCCCTAGAAATTTGTCTGGTAATGAGCACATGGACAACCAAAGGATATCCCAGGTTGTTCACACATTAACATATAAGCAAGCTGGTGGCTCAAACCTGTAATCCTAGCTATTTGGGAGGCTAGGATCAGTAGGATCATGATTCAAGGGCAGCCTAGGCAAATTGTTTGAGATACCTCATCTCCAAAATAACCAAAAGCATAGGGTGGCCGCATTGCAAGTGTGAAGCCCTGAGTTCAAACCGCAGTCCCACCAATAAATAAATAAATAAGTAAATTTAATATATAAGCAATCAGAGAAGAATTTCAGGGCAGTCAGTCCGTGGAGGAAGAACCTGGGTCAAATCAGAAGCAGGAGGTTTGCTCTTCCAGCCTGGTTGCTGAGAACAAAATAGGAAATGTCTTACCAGACTTGAGGGGAAAGAGGACATACTTGATGAAGGACAGAACCCCATTGTTCTCAATGTTGCCTGGTTCACAGAAGGCCTTCTTCAATTTTTTCTTCACATCTTCCCTCCGATCGAGGAGATCAATCTTGGATTCCTAGAAGTCATGGGGGGAAGAGACCTCTTGTGGTTAAAAATGAGAACATGCTCAACTAATCTGTTCCATTAAAGAAAAAAAAAAAAAAAAAAGAAAAAGAAAAGAAAAGAAAAAAAGCCTGGTGTGGTAGTACATGCCTATAATTCCAACACTAAGGAGGCCAAGGCCAGTCTGGACTACATAGCAAGACTCTGTCTCAAAAACCCAAGGGTAGAGAAGATGTTCAGTGGCAGAGCACTTGACTAGCATATGCAAGGCCCTAGGATCAATTCCCAGCAACACACACACACACACACACACACACACACACACTATTTAACATTAAATAACTGTAACACAAGCAGAATTAATAAGTGTGAAGAATAACTTAGAATGTTGACACTCAGCATATTAAAATTTTCTGTGTTCTTCCCAGGCCTTGTTTACAGCATACAGAATTGTTATAAATTTGAAATTAGACAATGACTGTCTTGTTTTTTCCCTTGAGATCATGTTTTAAGCACTTCTCTTGAGTATCTTGTTTTCATTTATAATTTTTATACTGTATTATATTTCTAGCTATTCATGACAGCTTGACTTAATAATTTTCAAATTGTTAGATTATATCCTAATTTTTTACAAATTATATATAATGCTACATCTTCGCAGAGCTTTTCTGTCCTCTCTAGGACTGTTTCTGTAAATTACCTAAAATTCTAAGTTCAAAATTATCTTCCAGGGCTGGGGGCATGTATCAGCCTCACAAGAGAAACTGAGTTCAAACCCCACTACAGCCAAAAACCAAAACCAACCAGTCAACCAACAAAAAAACCTATTTTCACAAAAGACATTATTGACATTGTCATTAGCAACATGTGAGGATATCTGTCTCATAGAAATCACCAACACCAGCTTTCAGGGTATGAAAGTTTGTCTCACAGAATTGCGCTGGAAACTTAATTCCCAAAGTCCTGTTAGTGGTATTTGGAGGTGGACCTGTGGGAGGTGATGGTGTCATGAGGGCAGAGCAGATTAAACCATTCATAGGTTAATAATAATTAATGCATCATCAAGGGAGTATCTTTGTTATAAAAGCGAACACTCTCTGGCATGCTTGCTGTGTCTTACCATATGATACAATGTGATATCCTTGGGTTATACAGAGACCTCATCAAATGAGGCCCCTTGGCCTTAGACTTCCCAGCCTCCAGAATTTTGGAGAATGAAAGAAATTAATTTATTTTCTTTATAAATTTACCAGTCTCGGGTATTCTGTTACACCAACAGAAAATGGACTAAGATGCTAGGTATTATAGATTATCTAGTCACTTTCCCTTTTTTAGTAATAGGTTTTGTTTCTTGTTTTGGAGTGAATTTATAGTCATTTGAATTCAGTAGTTAGCAAATTTTAGTTTACATATGACTGCACATTAATCACTTGGGGTACTTTAAGAAAGTGTAAATTACTAGGCTCCATTGAAACTTGAGGGATCAAAGTTCTTAGCCTGGGGGTATAGCTCAGTGGTAGAGCATTTGCCTAGCATGCATGAGCACAAGGCCCTGGATTTGATGCCAGAACATCTTCCCTCACCCCCCCCACCCCAAAATAAAACAAATTTGCCAAGTGAGTATGATACACAGTACTGTTTGGGAACTGTTGCTAGACTTACTTTCTAGTGTTTTTTTTTTTTTTTTTTTTTTTGTGGTACCAGGGCTTAAACATGGGGCCTTCACCTTGAGCCACTATAACAGCCCTATTTTTGTGAAGGGTTTTTTTTGAGATAGGGTTTCCTGAACTATTATTGCCCAGGCTGGCTCTGCTGAACTGCGATCCTCCTGATCTCTGCCTCCTGAGTAGCTAGGATCAAAGGTGTGAGCCACAGGTGCCCAGCTGCTTTCTAGTTTAAGATATGCCAAGTATCAGACCGGGAGTGTGGCTGAAGTAGTAGATTGCTTGCCTAGGAAGTGTGAGGCCCTAAATTCAATCTCCAGTACCACTGATGGCCACCCCCCAAAAAAAGATGTGACAGTTGTCACTTAGGATAAATGGCATATTTTGTAAGAGGAATAGCTTACTTCATGGAACTTGTTTTTTTTTTGGTGGCATTGGGTTTTGAACTCAGGGCCTCACACTTGCTAGGCAGGCGCTTTTACTGCCTGAGTCACTCCACCAGTCCTTTTTTGTGATGGGTTTATTCAAGATAGGGTTTCGTGAACTATTTGCTTGGTACTGGTTTTGAACCATGATCCTCCTGATCTCTGCCTCCTGAGTAGCTAGGATTATAGGTGCAGTGTGAGCCGCCGGCACCTGGCATTCATGAAACATTTTAATGTGAGTGAAAAAGAAAATGGAATCAATGTACAGTAGACCCTTGATATCTTGTGGGTATATAGCTCCAAGGAGACCACTGTTGAGGATAAACTGAGACTGCTCAGGATGCATAGAATTCAGTACTATACTGAGAATGCTTGATTCATTTTTCCCATAATGCCTCCCAACTCCCACTAAAGACAGGCTGCTTTTCAACAAATCTAAAATTTTTATTTTATAGCTTAAATTAAGCACTTTATATGCCCCTTTTGGCTTGGGAGGAATATCATAATGTTTACCTTGGTTTTTGGGCATTATTTGCTTTTTGGGAGGCATATTTTCACAAAATTAAGTGCAGGGAAATACTCAGCATATCACATTATTTAAACACAACTGATGGTAATGCAGGACTGACTGAGAACTTCTCTGTATTAACTGAACTGTATATGTGCATGCAGGAATTCCAAAATTTTGCTTTTGGTCTGTCTTCCCTCATTTTGACCACACTTGGTCAAAACTGTGTACAATAAATTGCAAATAAGGCAGGCTTACTGTATTCCATTAAATATGATAACAGTATATATAAATATATTTACCAATCTGTGATTAAACTGCAAGAAGTCAAACTTAAAGAACTAAATGAGTACCTAAATGTGACTTTAATCAGAATCATCTAGCAGGGGTTGGGATGAAACTCAGTGGTAGAGTGCTTATATGCATGACATACTGGGTTTGTTCCCCAGCACAAAAATTACTGAGTAGGATTCAGAAGAAGGTACATATTCCTAGGTTCCTCCCAGAATGACTATGAGACTCTATAAGGACAGAGTCCATGGCCTTGATCCTTCTGGCTCAGCCTCCCAAATGCTGGGATTACAGACATACACCACCATGCCTGGAGCAATAAGGATGAATTTTATCACAATTTTGTGAATGAAGAAAAAACTTTTGCCTGTGGTTTGGTCAATAACAGTAAGAACAGTCATCATTATAACTGGATCCCATCAGGACTGCTTCTGGGTCCTTTGGTACTCAAGAATAACTGGGTGACTTAAGGCCCCTTAAAACCCAAACATTTGGGCATTCCGGTTAGCCAGATTACTGTTCTTTTGAGCCCTCTACCTGCGCATCTTCTGCTGAAGATTTCTACATTAAGGAAATGGTTGGCAACATACCTCTTCTGAAGAGCTCATTTTGCTCCCAGTTAATCCCGGGACCATTGGATTCATCAGATGGATCCGTTTTGAGTAGCCAAGTGCAGGGAGGTACTGAGACATTAGAAAGAAACACACAAACATAGATATTAGTATAAATTCTTCCTCAGTGCCCTGGTCTTGCCTAATGAGGCCAATAACTTAATAGTATAACACATTCCTTCTTATAGTTTTCAACAGTGATCATAATGTGAACAAATTTTTTTTCTTTAGGACCAGGGTGTGGCTCAAGCAGTAGAACACCTGCTTAGAAAGCATGAGGCCCTGAGTTCAACCCCCAGTACCACAAAACCAAACCAAACGAAATAAACCAAAGCCAAACAAACAACTGACCAGCAAATTAAAGGAAATAAAGAGGAAAGGATGAACAAACAGTTAAAAGAGAACATTTTTAAAAAAGAGGGAATCTATAAAAAAGAATCAAATGGAAGTTTTAACCTATATATAATGGGAATCTCAAAAGAGGAGAAAGTAAGACACAGCAATATTTAAGGAAGTAATGGCTGACAAATTTTTAAAATTTGATGACATCAACCCACATACATATTCAAGAAACTTGGCAAAATCCAAGAAGGATAAATACAAAAAAAATTATAGCTAAAGGGCTAAGGAGGTAGCAAGGCCCTGGGATCAATCCCCAGCACTGTAAAACCAAACCAAACCAAACCAAACCCCAAGAAAATTATAGCTAAAAACCTCATCAAATTGCTGAAAATCAGAGAAAACCCTACAAGTGACCAGAGTAAAGCCTATTATCAAAAGAGAAGCAATGATGATTACAGTGACTTTTCAGTGGAAACTATCGAAGCCAGAGGCAATGGAATGATTCTTTAAAACCAGAGAAGGGCTGGGGTGCAGTGGTACAGCGCTTAGTTAGCATGTGTGAGGCCCTTGGTGAATGCTCAACACCACAAAAAAGAACAAAATAAAAGCAGAGGAAAATAATTGGAAACCTATAATTTTATATCCAGTGAAAGAAAAAGATGTTTCATAGACAAAAAAACAAAACAAAACAAAACAAAACAAAACAAAACAAAAAACAGCAGAAAGAACCCACTGTTGAAAGACTTGCAGTAGAAACACAAAATACTAAGGGGGCTCTTTGGGATGCAGGAAAATGAACTCACATGGAAAATAGAAGCACAGAACTGTAGGAAGGAATTAAGAGTATCAGAATGGTAAGTAGGGCTGCAATGGTAAAGGGAGGGCAGAAGAGGGAAGAAATGGTAAGTAGAGGGCTAGAGATGTAGCTCAGTGGTAGAACATTTGCTTAGCACATGAGGCCCTAGAAACATCCCACAGTAATGCAAAAGAAAAGAAGAAAAAAAAAACACAAACTAAGCAAAACAAAAAGTAAGTACAGGTAAATATATATGAAAATTGACTGTTTAAAAAATAATTATTATAGGGCTATAACTCAGTGATACAGTGCTTGCTCAGTATGTATGAGGTCCTGGGTTTGATCCCTAGCACTGTAAAACAAGCAAACAAACAAACAACAACAACAACAAAACCAATTATAATAAAGTCTTTGGGATTTAAAATAATCAAAATATATGTAAAAAGTAAAAAAATTAAAAACAAAAGCACAACAGGCAGGATGGCGTTACAAGTGGATTAAAACCGTTTTAAGTTCTGGCATCGTTGAGAAGTGGTGAAAGTATCTAACTTCAACTGCAATAAATTATAAGGATACACGCTGTAATCTCTAGGGTAGGGGAGGACACAATTTCCATAAATTGACAGGTAATAAACATTTTAGGTTTTGTGGGCCACACATGGTCTCTATTGCATATTTTTCACCTTTGTTACAGCCCTTTAATAGCATAAAAACCATTCTCAGCTCTGAGTCACATAAAAATAAGCTGTGGGTTCAATTCTTGTTAGTATAATTAAAGTATAATTAAAGAAATAACAATAATTAACTAGTTAAAAATTTACTTTGTAAGCATTTCCCCACTCATTAAATATATCCAAAAACCATTATTTTGTTTAATTTTATTTATTTATTTATTTAGGCAGTACTAAGGCTTGATCTCAGGGTCTCATCCATGCTAGGCAGGTGCTGAAGTACTTAAGCCACACCACCAGCCATTATTTTAATACTGTATAATATTCCATCATGAGGATTTTCCAATCCCTTGCTGTTGGATATGTTTATTTCCAGATTTTTGTTTTAAATTGGTAATGTAATAAGTACTCTTATACCTAACCCTAGTTGCATTTCTTATTTCCTTATCACATATTTTTAGAAACAAAATTATTAGGCCAAAGAATAGAAATATTTTAGGGTTGTTAAACCATCCTTTAAGAATTTACATTTCTAGTTCGGGAAGTGTGGCTCATGCTTGTAATCTCAGCTGTGAGCTAGGATTACAGTTTGAGGCCAGCACAGCCACAAAGTTAGTGAGACCCCTTTCCCCATCTCAATCAATCAGCTGGGGCTGTGGAGTGGGCTAAAGTGGTAGAGTGCCTGCCTAGCAAATATGAGGCCCTGAGTTCAAACACCAATACTGGAAAAAAAACAAAACCGAAACAAAACAAAAACCAACAACCACAGCTGGGCATGGTGGCACACACCTATGATCCTAGTTACTCAGGACGCCACAGGTAGAATCGAAGTCTTAGACTGGCCCTGGGCAAAAATTTGAGACCCTAACTGAAAAGTAAGTAAAGCAAAACAGGACTCACAGTATGTGGGAGGTAGGTAAAGTGGTACAGCATCTGCCTACTAAGTCCAAGGCCCTGAGTTTAAACCCTAGTACCACCAAAAAAAAGAAAAAGAAAAAAATTACATTCCAGTTTTCTTTACCCTCTGCCAATATAAGGTCTTAGGAATCTTTCAAAAACACCAACCACTTCTCACTCAATAGACCTTTTCACCTTAAGTTCTTTTCCAGTAAAGAATTCTTACGAGTTTGTGCTTATTTTCTGCTGAACCCTGTTAAACTTCATCTCAGAAATGAGCAGGTTTTATAAAACACAGGGCAATGTGAACCAAATACTCTGGGAAAAAACAGTAATTCTGACTGGTACTGTCTCTCCCTGGAAACTGAGCTATTAAGAAGGAAGCAAATTCAGTAAGTCCTGGGGTGACAAGTGCAGACAGATCTGGGTATTCATTCCTGCTCAGTTACTAACTGTGATAGTGGACAACTTCTTTATTCTTCTGCTCTTGCTTTCTCACCTGCAGAAGGGTAATAATACCTACTGTAAATATGATAACTGGAGTGACTGGCACATCATAGCTCAACAAACTACTTGCACATTGCTGAGGCCAAAATGAAAAAAGTAAAGAGGACACTGACCTTCTCTGCAAAAGTGAAAATCTTTCTCTGATCAACACCTCCAAATTGGGCATCTACTTTTAAATACTCTTCATCCAAAGCCTGTGGAGAGAAACACAGCATAAATACAAGATTACATTTGTTCCAGGGGGGTCTCAGAAATCAGAAAATTTTGATTTTCCAGAAGATAGAGCCAGGAAGAAAATAAATAGTACAAAGCCTCCCTGTTGGCCTCATAAACAGTTGCTAAGTGCCTGTGGTGAACATTACTCCATGTGGATGTCATAAGATAAAAAATAAGAAGAGTAGCCTCATCAGTGGGCAGGAGAAGGAGAAGGCGAACCACAGGCATGTCAAAGGTACCCCCACTGAACAAGGCAGCCTGGGACACCTATCAAATAAATGGCATAAAGAAATAACTCCTAGCCGGGTATGGTGTTGAGCACCTGTAACCCCAATACTTGGGAGGCTGAGGCAGGAGGATCTCAAGTTTGAGGCCAACCTGGGCTACATAATGAGCTCAAGGGTTATATAGTGAGATCCTGTTACAAAAAAAGTAATTACTGCCTATCAAATAAATGGCATAAAGAAGTAAGATTAGCCTGGGTAACACAGCAGGTCCATGTCTTAAAAAAAAAAAGAAGATGAAGAGAAAAAGGAGTAAGTAATCCTGGGTTTATGGGTGCAGCTCTGTAGTACAGCACGTGCTTACCATGCGTGAGTTCCTGGGTTCAATCCCCAGCAAAAAAAGTCCTGTGAGAGCTCAGACAAAAGATTAAGACTAGTAAATGAACAGTGACTGTCACCACATGCCCAGCATGCTGCCAGCCCTGTGGATGCAGAGATCAATCAGATCCATACCCTCCCTTCAAGAGAAGGGTGGCTGAGGGTGGGGGGAAGAGAGCCTAATTACCTACTTGGGAAGAGACATGTAAACAGATCATTTCAACACAGAATGCTAAGGCTAGTAACTAGATGTTCACATAAGGGAACAGTTGCCAACATCATAAAAGAAATGATTACCTTTGCCTAGTCAGATAGATGTGGGAAGGATTCCTAGACAGACAATGGGCTGAGACTGGTTTACGAACACCATGAAGGGAGAGAGGTGTGAAATGTTAAGCAAAATGATGAGTGACTTGGTTTACAATGCACAAATTTCAAGGGATGTGGGAAGTGGTGAGTGAAAGGCTGGAAAAGTAGATGAGGGTCATGAAGAGTCATGGTAGGTAGGGTGCCTATTGTTACCCTGCCAGTGAATGTTTTTAAGGAGAAAAATACAACCAGCACTGTGAGAGATCACACCAGTGACAGCACAGGGAATGGACTGGAGACCCATAGGGTAGAGACAAGGAACATCAATAGAAGGCTGTTGTGAGAGTCTAGATTAGAAATAACAATGAACCAAGGCAGTGGAGAAATAGAAGAATAAATTTAAGAGTCTTTAAGAAGTATAACTGATAAAATTAGTTTACAACTGGCTGAGGATGGAGGAAGATGAAGAAAAGGAGGGAGAGTAAAAAACAGTTGAGCAGAATACTCTAGAACAGCATTGTTCAATAGGACTTTCTATAATGACAAATATATTCTATATCTGTACTATCTGAGATACTAGCCATTAGCCATATGTGGCTACCAAGAACTTGACATATAGCCCATCTGACCAAAAAACCAGAATCAATTTTTTTTAATTGATATTGGATCTATGTTGCCCAGGGTGGTCTGTACCTAACTTCTGAACTAAAGTGATCCCCCACCTCAGTAATAAGTAATAAGTATTAAGTAGCTGCCTTATTTTTTTTTTTTTTTTTGAGATAGGGTCTTGGCATATAGCTCAAGCTGGCCTTGAACTAGAGATCTTCCTGTCTTAGTCTCTCAAGTGCTGGGATTACAGGCATGTGCCATCACAACTGATGTCTAGCTTTAATTACTTTTAATAGTCCCATATGACCAAGACTAGAGACTACCATATTGGACAGTAAAGATCCAGAATATCTTCAAGTTAATCTGGACAAAGAACCTTGAGGTGATATGGGGAGACTTTCTTTTTTGATGCTACTGGGGTTTGAACTCAGGGTCTCATGCTTGCTTAGATAGGCACTCTACCATTTGAGCCACTCTGCCAGCCCAAGAGACTTTATTTTCTTATATCAAACATTACAGAGATATATAAAAAAAAAGTTAAGTGTATTTACATTTTTAATTTCCCTGAGGTAATCCAGTATCAAGAGCTTAGTTTGTATTTTTCTTTTTTTCCTTGATCAAACAAACACACACACTCAGATGATGTGTCTGTTTTGTCTAATGGAAAATAGGATCATTCCTGAAACTCATTTTCACAAATCACTCTGGACTTTATTTTCTTCAGTTAAAAAATTATGACCAACATTAAGAAAATATGTCAATATCTGTTTTTTTTTGGAGACAGGGTTTTGTTACATAGTCCAGGGTGGCCTTGAATTTGCAATGGAGCAATGTCTTAAAGGAGAGACATGAAAGGGAAGGCTTACAACTTAAAAACTTAAAAGAGGATCCCAGGAAGTCTGGGATGAGCAGGACAGACAAGAAGGAAGGCTAGGCCTTGGCGAAAGAATAGCAAGTGCACTGGTTTAACTGGTGCCAAGAGAGGCTAGTGTCTAGTTAGAAATAGAGCAGAATAGTAATTGGGGCCACTCTACCCCTCTTGAGTACCTGCAGTCCAGGGTACAAGAGACCACTCAGCAAAGGGTGCTCCACCTGCTTTACAACCTCAGCTCCAGCTTTCTTGGCATCATGTTGTGTGACCACAGAGGACAGTCGGTACACATCCAGTGTGTATTCTCTGACAAGGAAGGGAGGAGGAGAAAGCCTTAAGACTGGGCCTAGGCCTCAGTTTGCCAGGGCAGTCCTAAAGCACATTATCACTTTACTTCCCTAATCTTAGAATGTTTGAAGAGTACTGCCTGGTAGTTTCTAAAATGTGAGAGATCTATCCACTCATCCAGAATATTATTTCATTTGTATGTTTTTTCCTTTTAATAAATGACTTTAAACTTTTTCTTCACTTCTGGAAAACATTCTGTTTCTCTGCATTTCCCTCTATGCTCTTCTTCTGAAATATCTACTGAAAAAATAGCAGAATTTCTCAATCTATCTTTCATGCTTTTTTCTTTTTTTGTGGGACTGGGGTTTGAACTCAGGGCTTCACACTTGGCAAAGGAGGCGCTCTACCACTTGAGTCAGACTTCCAGTCCATTTTCCTCTGGTTATTTTGAAGGTGGGATCTTGTGAACTATTTGCCCAGGTTGGCCTCAAACTATGATCCTACTGATCTCAGACTTCCAAATAGCTAGCATTATAGGCATGAGCCACCTGTGTCCAGCTTTTTTGTGCCTTAAAAACAACAACAACAAAAAAAAACCTTAATAATGAACAATACAAAGAATAGTGTACACATCAGTTCAAGAAAAAGGACCTAACAATTATTTCTGATGCTCCTGAGTACCCTTCCACACCCAATCTTACTTCCTTCTCCTTCAGTGTCACAACTACCCTGAGCTTGGTGTTTCTTTCCAGTTTTATATTATGTTTGTTCTGCTAAACAATGTAAATATCTGTATATAATGATATCTGTAATGTACTGTATATACTGATATACATATGCATGTTTCTCCATTTATGTCTTAGAATTTCTGGATCATTAGTGATTTGCATCTTGAACTTTAGTGGATAATTACAAGTCATTTTCCAATGTGGTTTTTGTCAATTTTATTAATTTTGTCATTATTTTTAAAAATTTGGCAATTTGGCCAGTATACAATGGTTCCTCACTGGGCTTTTAATCTACATTCCTTTGACTAAGAACCAAGGAGGATTATTCTTTCCATATGCTTATTGGTCATTTGGGTTTCTTCTGAGAAGTGCCTAGATAAAAAGTCTTTTTCCACTGGATTGATTAATTTTCTTTCTAAACAACTGATTCTGTATTTTTGAATTATAATATTGGATATTAACCACTTGCAATTATATGTATTATAAATATTTTGACTCAGTTTGTGGTTTGCCTTTCTTTGGTGTTGGGAATTAAAAGTAGGAACTTGTGCTCTATTACTGAGCCCCAGGGTGTGGCTTGACCTTTTTTTTTGCTTTTGATGTACTGGAGATCTTAATTGGTGCGGGGGAGTGTGTTAGGGATTGAACCTAGGGCATCTCATAGGCAAGTACATATGCATTTTACTGCTAAGTTATACCCTCATAGGCAGGTACTTTATCACTTGAGCCATGCTCCTAGCCTTTAAATAGTCTGTTTTTTTGGGCACTACTAGGATTTAAACTTAGAGTCCTACGCTTTTTTATTTATTTATTTTTGTGGTACTGGGGTTTGAACCCAGGGCCTACACCATGAGCCACTCCACCAGCCCTTTTTTGTGATGGATTTTTTTCAAGATAGGGTCTCACAAACTATTTGCCCAAGTTTGCTCTGAACCACGATCCTTCTGATCTCTGCCTCCTGAGTAGCTAGGATTACAGACATAAGCCACTGGTGCCCAGCTAGGGCCTCATGCTTGTTAGGCAGGTGGTCTACCACTTGAACCACTCTGCCAGCCCCACTTTTTTTGTGTTGGGTATTTTCGAGAAAGGGTCTCAAGGACTATTTACCTGGGCTGACCTTGAACCACAATCCTCTGCCTCCTGAATAGGATCACAGGTGTGAGCCACCAGCACCCTGCCAGATTTTGGTATTTTTGAGTAGATTCTGGAACCAATCTCTTGCAGATACTAGGTAAATACTACATATATAGGACTGAGGGTGTAGTTCAGTGGTAGAGAACTTGTCTAGCATGCATGAGACCCTGGGTTTGATCATGAGGACTGCAAAAAAATGCTATGCAAATTGTGGTTAAACTGTATTATTTAGGAATAATGACAAGAATAAAAAGTGCACATGTTCAGTATAGATGTAATTTTAAAAAAGTTCTCAATCTCAGTCTGATTTCATAGATGTGAAGGACCAGTTGTATCACTCATTAGTTGAAATATTATACCTCTCTTTGTATTCCCAAATACAAAGTTTTATTTGGTCTGTGGCCACTGAGTATTCTTGACTAGTTTGTCAATACGTCAATACATTTAGTCCAAAAAATTATTGTATCTAGTATTTTTAGTTGTTTTTAACAGGAAGGTAGGTCAGAGTACCCAGTTGACTAGATTTCTGGAAACGGTCCTCATCCACATCTCAAACCACTCACATTTTTTATGCCAATCTGTCTGGGTTGTATTCTAGGTGAATTTCTCAGTATTACCTTTCAACTCTTCAGTTTACACTTGATCCTTCACTCCCCCAACTTCTTCAAGTTTCTGCCTAATCCCATCTTATCAGAGAGGTCTTCCCTAGCCATTCCATTGAAATAGAAACCCTCACTTTTCTCCCCCAGTTTGCCTGCTTTGTAACACCTATCACCATCTGAATATTTGTACTAATTTATTTGTTTATCATCTGATTTCTGTGCTGGAATATAAGCCGCATTAGAATAGGAACTTTTGTTCTGATTCACTTTTGTTTACCTGATAGCTAGAATAGTGCTTACCATATAATAGGAACTCCATGAATATCTGTAGATTAAATGCAAAAAATGAATGAAATCTCAGATATTCTATAGAAGCCATGGATTCCTAGATTTGGTTATGTAAAGATGTTCATATGCTTTATTTAAAACTTAAAAGACCACAGTGGGGAATGATAAAGAAAAATTGTATTAGATGAAGTAAAAGTAAAAGGAGAAATTACTAGTAAACAAGTGATATGGGTTCACATCCTGACTCATTTACTTATTAGGTGTATGACCTTGTGAAAGTTAAAATTGAATCTATGTCTAAAACAATGCTTACCTTAAAAAGTTGTTCTGAGGGTTTTTTCTTTTTTTATTTTTACCCTGGTGGTACTGGGGTTTGAACTCAGGGCCTCACACCTGCTAGGTAGGCACTCTACCACTTAAGCCACTCTGCCAGCCCTGTTTTGAGGGTTTAAATGCAAAAGCGACTAAGGTGACATTATGATGTGTAGGTTATAACAGCTTATTTGAGAGGTTTCAAAAAACTTTTTTTTCAGTACTGGGGGTCAGATTCAGAACCGTGTACTTGTGAAGCAGACACTCTACCAACTTGAGCCAGCCTCAATAATGTAGTGGATGTTTTTTTGTCTGTTTGGTTTTTTTTTTTTGGTATTGGGGTTTGAAATCAGGGCTTCGTGTTTGCTAGGCAGGTGCTCTACTGCTTGCGCCACTCCTCCAGCTCTCAAAAATTTCAAAATATGGGCAGTATGGGGGAATTACTTAAACAGCAAGTTTAAAAACTAGCAAACAAGGTTAGGTGTGTACAGTGGCAGAGTGGGTTCAATCTCCAGACCACCATTAAAAAAAAAAAGGTACATAATTCTACCTATGCCAAAATTATAGACATGAGTGCAACTGACAAAGATAAGAAACAAAAATTGTTTTGTTGGGGAAGTCAGAAATGTGAAATAGTTTTCTTTCTATTATTTGCTGAGGTTGGAAAAGAAAGGGAGATTGAACTGTTCACCATCCATTTGCTACATGCTGTGGGCCCTGTAAGGCCAATACCTTTGTTATAGCTACATTTATATTGGAAATTAGACAGCACCTGTATATTTACTACTCAGTTCATTTTTTTCGGGGGGGGTGGTGGTGGTGGTGGAGGGGATACAGCGGTATTAATGTTTGAACTCAGGACCTCACACTTGCTTATTCTACCACTTGAGCCACACCCCAGCCCTTTATACCTTTTATTTTTAGACTACACCTTGAGTTTTTGCCCAGGCTAGCCTTGGACCTTGATTCACTTACCTATAGCCTCCTGAGTAGTTGGGATTATACGTATTCAATAGCAAACCTAGACTACTCAGTATTTTTTTTTTTTTTTTTTTTTTTTTGTGGCACTGAGGCTTGAACTCAGGGTCTCATGCTTGCTAGGCAAGAACTCTTACTGCTTGAGCCACTCCGCAGGTCCTTTTTTATTTTGTGATGGTTTTTTTCTGAGATAGGGTCTTGCAAACTACTTGCTAGGGATGGCTGCAGATGGTTCCTGATCTCTGCCTCCCATGAGTGAGCCACCCATGCCTGCCCTACTCAGTACACTGGAAATTAAAAACACAAAGGGTATACTCTTTCCAGATAGGATCTTGTGAACTATTTTGCCCTGGGGCTGACTTCGAACTGTGATCCTCCTGATTTCTGCCTCTTGAGTAACTAGGATTTATAGATGTGAGCCACCAGCACACAGCAAAGGTACACATTTTTTCATGGTTCTTAACAGGTAGTGTTAAACAGCTGCCAATCCACATTTAAAGAGTGCCTGGACTCCACAGGCCTGTAATTAGCTAGAGGCACCACAGCCATGAGGAGGGTGGATGATTAAGCACTTACTTGCTGAGCTGGTAATCAGTGCCTTTGATGAACTTGAGCTTCTCCAAGGGTACTCCAATGCTTTCTAGCACTGCCTTGATCACATTCTCATAGTAACTGGTTCGGAGTTCTAGAAGTTCCCATGGGGCTTTCATGTTATCCAGGTATGCATGAAGGTCAGCAAACAGAATCGTTACCTAGACACAGGATTAAGGAACCACCAAAATGTGAATCTGTCCAAGTACCTCCAACCCACCTTCCTGTCCCCACCCTGCCCCACCCTTGTTAAGCCTCTTTTGGTCATTTCCTAGGGACAACTACTTGGTTGATAGCATGAATGCTCACCTCACATCCTGCCTTCAAGAAGTCTGCAATCTTGGACATCGGCACGAAGTAAGCCACATGTGGCTTGCCTGTGGTTGCTGTTCCCCAGTAAACTTTAAGTTCCCGCTCCTTCAGTATCTCCTTCAGCTTCTCTTCCCCCAGAACCTCCTGTTGTGGAAGAAGAAGAGCTGGTTTAATGCTGGTGCCCCACCTTGCTCATCCTTTACCCTGTGACAAGGAAAACAAAGTTGTGAGTCACTGGGGGTCCTGGCTCTAGCCATGCTCAGTGCTGCTGCTACTGCCTGTCCTGTGAGGGGCACATTCTTACCCACATCTTCCCCTCCTGCTCCTTCTAACTCACTCCTTCCTTTCCCAGCTACCTTCTTGAAGTAGCTGTCTCTTGTGGTTTCCATTTCCTCATCTCCCATTCCAGTGAGTTCCATACTCTTGTGAAGATCATAAAGGAGCTACAGATAGCTAACTTCCATGAATATTTTTACTTCTTGCTCCCTCCCTAAAATACTCTCCTCTTTTGACTTCCTTATTTTTACTTAGCTTCCCTCATCTCTGGTTACTTAGATTTCTTTGCTAGTAGTTTTCTTCCTAATTATTAAACATTAGCAATCCTTGGGACTCTAGTATTTTCTCTTCTAACTATATTCTCCCTAACTTGTTCCCTTCAGTTCCTTCAATGACTACCTATGAACTCGTAACTCCCCAATCTCCTGCTCACACCTGTATCTTGAGCCATATAGTTGTTATCAACTCCAAATTCAAACATGGTCAAAATTAAACTCATGCACTTATCTTCCTATGTCACTTCTCAATCATCTTTTTCACTTACAGTTTCATTCCCAAGTCAGTAAATGGTACAAATTTTATTCACTGAGTTGCTTAAGTTATTCCAAAACAGGTCTTAAATCCTCCTATGTCTGCCTCTACATTACCAGACCAATTCAAGGCACTATGAGATCACACCATGATTACTTAATAGCCTCCTAACAAGTCTGCCTCATCTACTTTTGGCCCCTCCAATCCATGTTCCAAAAGGCAGCCAGAAGGATCTTCTTTGAAACTCAAAATCTGATTAACTTATTTACTTGCTTAAAAATTTTTGTTTCTTTTTTTTGGGGGGGTAGTATTGGGGTTTGAACTCAAGAGCCTTGAGGTTGCTAGGCAGGTGTTCTACCACTTGAACCACATCTCCAGTCCTTGTTCTCTCTCTTCTTCTTCTTTTTTTTTTTTTTGGCAGCACTGGGCTCCTGCTTGGTAGGAGGGTGCTCTCCCTTGAGTCATTCTGTCAGCCCTTTTTTTTTTGAGATAGGGTCTCACGAACTATTTGAGTGGGGCTGGCTTTGAACCCAGATCTTCCTGATCTGTGCCTCCTGAGTAGCTAGGATTACAGGAATAAACCACCAGCACCCAGTTCTCATTCTTTTTTTTTGACATGGGGTCTTGTTTTGTTGCCCAGGCTGGCGTCAAACTCATGGTATCAAGCAATCCTTCTGCTTTGGCTTGCTAAGTAGCTGGGACTGCAGGTGCATTCCATCGCACCTGGTTTTGTCCAAATCCTTTCATGATTTCATTTGCTCTAAGACAATTACAGAAAAATCCTAATAGGCTAGTATGTCCCTGACAAAAGTTTTCAGTGTTTTTTCAAGTGATGGTGTGGGAAGGCTATTAGAAATTATGACAGACAAAAACTGAATCATACAGTAACAGGACTTGCTAAAATCCTGTGCTCCAAGTCTGCTGGCTGTATGTCCTGCATCCTCCTGAATGCCTGACTACCTGGACACTCAGAGGGTCCTTACCACCCAAGGAAAGGTCACATCACCTACCCTTTAAAGCTTGAGTGAGTCAGTTCCATATTCTCCATGTCCTATGTCCCCATTAAGCATTATTTTATAGAGAAAAGCTAGGAACAACAGACCTCGCTAAGAGGAAACATGCAAAAATCTCCAGTTAAGATCAAGCTGCAAGTGGAATAACCCAAATGTCTATCAACCAATGAATAGATAAACATAATGTGGTATATCCAGACAGTGGAGTATTATTCAGTCATAAAAAGGAATAACTGCAAATCTATTTGTGTGTGTCTACCTAGTTTGAATATGGATTGGATTTGAATGCCTTTGGACTAGGGTATGGGTTTGAGAAGAAACAAGGGACTCCCAGGTACCAGGCCTAAATCTTGGTAGCTGGCAGCTGATGCAGGTGACTTTTTTTTTTTTTTTTTTGCTGTACTGGGGCTTGCACTCAGGACCTACACCTTGAGCCACTCCACCAGCCCTTTTTTGTGAAGTTTTTTTTGAGATAGGGTCTCGTTTCAAACTGTGATCCTCCTGATCTCTACCTTCTGAGTAGCGAGGATTATAGGCATGAGCCACTGGCACCTGGCACAGGTGACATTTTTAATTGAAGGTTTTTTGTTTGGCACTGGGGATGCAAGTGAGAGCCTTGCATATGCTAAATAGGTGCTCTACCACTGAGCTATACCCTAGATCAGGTTTTTTCTTATTTTTTGGAAGGGGCAAGATAATTTGTTTTGGCTAAAGAACATACCAGAACATGCCAGAGCTGGGTGTGGTGGCATACACCTATGATGCCAGGGCTTGGGAGGCTGAGGCAGGAGGACTTCAAGTTCAATGCCAACATAACAACCAAAAAAAAAAAAAGTGGTGAGAAGGGAAGAGAGATGTTGGCTTCTTGTTCTTTCAGCAGTTAAGTCCACTTCTGCAAATGTCTGAGCACAGCTTACTTTTGCTCTTTGCCTTCAAGATGCCTTTGGGTCCTCTGGGTTTCTGTTTGCCTCTCTCTCCCAACCCTCTTCTCCTACATAACAGGACTTGAGCCCTTTCCCACAAGGGAGGTGGTTTCCTGGAAGAGGAGACCAAAGATCAGAGGCAGCCAATGGAATGGGGAGAGAGGCATGGGAGGTCTGAGGAGGGGAGACAGAGGAAAAGGGAGGAGAGAAGGGTAAGGGGGCTGCAAGAGAAGAGAGAGTAGGAGGAAGGGATTAGATCAAGAGGGAAGGGGAAATGGAAGAAGAAGGGATGAAGGACCAGAGGCTAGGGAAGCTAGAAGGGAAAGGGGAGAAAATAAAGAGGAAGGGGAGGAGCTGGGAGGAGAAGAATTCAAGGCTAAAGGGGGTAAGGGGGTAAAAAAAAGCAATGAAATTCTGACAGATACAACATGGATGAACCTTGAGAATATGCTAAGCAAAAGAAGACAGACTCAAAAGGGCACATATTGTATGATTTCAGTTAGATGAAATGCCCATAACAGGAAAATACATAGAGACAGAAAGTAGATTAGTAGATTAGGGTGCAATGGGCTGTGACTGCTAATGATACAAGTTTTTCTAGGGGTGGGACTGGGGGCATGGCTCAAGTGGTACTGTCCCTACCTTGCAAGCACAAGATCCAGATTTTAAACCTGAGCACCATCAAGAGAAAAGAAAAGAAAGGTAGGAATAAAGTTTTTCTGGGGGAGGGTGTGAAAATGTTCTGGAATTAGATAGTGGTCATCCAACTCGGTAGATATATAAAAACAGACTTAACTGTACACTTTAAAAGAGTGAAATCTGTAGTATGTGAATTGTAGCTCCAAAGGGTGGGGTGCGGGAAGCAACAAGTTGTGATTCAACTGCTCTTAGAATAAAGTCGTTTGAAACTGAGCTTGTAAAATAAAGTTTACAAGGCCCTCATGACTGGGTCCTTGCCTAGCTCTCCTAAACAAACAAATAAGTAAAATGATAGAGATAAGTGCTCTGGAGGAAAAACAAAAAAAGAGCAGAGATGAGATAGTTCTGGTGGCACGTGGTTATTTAAAGTTCTCAGAAGAAAGGTGTCTCTGACAATGGTCAGAGGTCTGAAACGAAGTAGAATGAATAATACAAATATTAAGTGTTTGATGAGTACTTTGTTCACTCTACTCTAGCTAAATTAGTTTTGGGGAGGGGGAGCAGGGGCTGTTGGGGCACTGGGGATTGAACCCAGGGCCTTGCATGTGCACTCTATCACTGAGCTGTCCCTCAGCCTTAAATCAGTCTTCTCTCAGAACCACACAATGTTCTTTCTCCCCTCTGGATCCTGACAATACTCTTCCCGCTTGTCTGAAATGCTGTTCTCCCTCATTCTTCCCCTGCTTATCTCCTAGTCTAGTACTTCTGGCAAAAGTAGTTTTGTGCAGTGAGGATGCACATCCTTCAGGGCGCAATCTAGAGGTGGCTTCCTTAGAGAAAGCCTTATTTCCTTTCAAAGCTCCACGTCTAAGAACTTCCAGCACTTGCTCCAACTCTAATTGGGTTATGCGTCATTTTAAACGTCGGATCCCGTCAGGACAAGTTCTAGAGGGCAGGTCCCGAACATATCCCCAGCACCTAGCACCGCGCTTGGCGCATAACAGGGGGAGTCAAGTGGGAGCCCGGGTTTCAGAGCCTGGTTCCAACACCAGGTAAGCGCACCCAAGGGATGGCTGCTTGACTGAGTTCTGATCCACCAGCAGTGAGGACCGCAGCCTCTCTTAGAGCTGCCTTGGTGCGGAGTCCCAGACCCTACACATTTAGACCCGGTAGTGGGGCTCGGAATCACTGGACCTATGGCTCCCAGTCCCCGACTGCGCATTCCAATCCCGAGGCCCGACCTGCAGGTTCCGGGTGATAAGGTGCAGCTTCTCTTCAGGGCTGCGAGCGTCCCCCATGGCTCCGTCACCCCTGCTTCCCGCGTTCAGCTGGCACCCGCGCCTCTTCCTCGGTCCCCGCCGCCGCCGCCGCCGCGTGCCGGGAACTGTCACGCAAGTCCCGCCAGGTTGCATCAGCTGAGCTCGTCGCTTGGCTTGCTAGGCCTGGGCCGCCTATTCGCCCAGAAGCAGCCGGAAGTCAGGAGCAGAGGAGAGTCGAACAGATCGATGAAACGGGAAGGGGCGGAGCCATCAGGCAGAGTGGGCGGTGCGGAGGGCGGGGGTTGCGACGCCTACACGGGGCGCAACGCTCTCAGAGGCGGGACGGTTTCCTGCCAATCACTGCTTGTTTGCCCTCCTCCTGGCGTTGGCCCGGCTGCCTCGGGGTGGGGGAGGTCAGGGAGGGGGGCGATAAAATGGCGCAGGGGGCGGAGTGAGGCGCAGTCGTTCGCCCAGGCTTTGGCCCGGCTTCCGGAGGTGAAGAGCGGGAGGGATGTAGGGTCGGCGTTCTTCGGCTGGGCGGGGGCTGGGGGCGCCTGTTGCTTCTTTAAGGGGACGCGCACACCGTTCGCCCCGTTGAGGGATAGGGAGGCTCTCGCCCTGCTGGGAAAAAAGGGCTGGTTTTCGCTCCTGAGGTGATGGCGGGGGCGGGGAGGAGAGGGTGAGGGACGTCCCTGCCCCCCTTCTCCACCTCGGGGAGCAACTGACGCCCCTCGCACTGCTGAGGAAAAGGAAGGTTGTCTGGTCATTGGAGTGAGCGGCGGGGAGCGACATCCGCGTCCCTGCCCGTGGGGGAGGGGGCGGTAGATGTGCAGGTGGGCGGGGGCTGCGTCTGCCCCCTCTGCCCGCGCAGCGGGAGGGTGTTGCTAGGCAGAGAGGGTCGCGGGCTTCCCGCGGGGCGGGACGGGGACGGTGGGAAACGGAGAGCGGGCCCTGGCTTCCCGAGGTGCGGCCGTCGGTCGCCATTCCCTGGGCGAGGGCGTACCAGCACCCCGCCGGCTGTCCGGGCCGAGTTTGCCCCTTGGGGGGAGGGGCGGGCAAAAGCCCGCGCTTCTCTCACTTTTCCGTGGGGAGGCGGGAATCCTCCGTCTCGGCGGAGGGAAGAGGGAAGTGCAAAGGCCCTGCCCGGAGGGCGGCGCCGCCTGGCGGCCGATGCAGTTCTGTGGCGTGTGGCGGTGAGGGTGGGGGCGGCCACCGGATCCTGCCAAGGCTGACCTGGGCCTCTCTAGGGGTGAGCTCGATCTAGCGAGGGCCGAAGAGTGATTGAGCTGCTCACCCGCTGCCCTAATCCGATCTCCAGTGTCTTGTGTATTTGTTGGGGGCTGCAGGCTTTCGCAGACCTCAATTAATTTTTTTTTTTTTTCCATTTAGAAACGAAACCTGTTGCTGCAGCCTAGTAGTGTTAGCTCTTTGTGCCCCCGTGGGAGGATTGCTATGGTACCCTGACCTAGTGAAATGTTACCTAAAGCAGAGATTTTCAGCCTTGGATTGTTTTCCTGGCGTACAGTGTTTCCAGTTACCTCAAAGGGAGTTGCAGAATTCTTACAGCTAATTTTAGGGTTTTTTTTTTAAACTTATTTTTAATGTTCGGCCTATTTTTATGAGTGGAAACAAAGCCTTGTTTTGTTCTTTGTGCTTCATATTTGGGAGAGGTTGGAAATCAAAAGCCAGTGGGAAGTCCTGTCCTTTGGAAATAGTTCTTGCTCTTGGCCATGCCTGACAGACCTAGTTTGGTAATGGGATTGGTTTTGGAGGCTTGAAAAGAGGATGTGGGGAGTGCATCTAGTGTTGGGGTTTTAGTGACCTGTCTAAAATAAGGCTTTGTGCTCGAAGGTAATAGGTTCTCCGAGGTAAGATAAAAATAGATAGGGAACCAGTTTCGAGGTTGCAACCAGGAGGTTAGAGAACAGAGAGAGAGGAGGTTGCAACCAGGAGGTTAGAGAACAGAGAGTGGAGGTGGCACACTGAAGTGTGAAGAAGGGGGTGGACAGGTGAGAGATGTGGAAGGACAGAATAGGGTCACACTGGGATGGGGAGCAGAATTAAGCGAATTTGGAAATGGGAAAACTATTCTTCCCTTAAAAATAGAGGAATCCCTGTATTTTAGTGGGAGTTACCAGGCAAGTGCTGGGAAAGGTAGGTGATGGTAGAATGGCAGAGAAGTAACTAAGGCTGTCTTGTGGAACTTCACTTAAGAACTTCAGTTTTATCTGAGGTGTTTTCTCCCTAGCAAATTCATTAAATAGCAACTTTAATTGGCATAGTGTTTTTAGATTTAGAGTGCTTTCATAGATATCCACTCAATTAATCCTTATTTGATTCAGTTAACTGTGAATATTTATCTCCCCTTTTCTCAGATGAGTGCATGTGTATTGAGGTTCAGAGACCTCCAAGTGACAGCCAACCATGGCAGCTCATTTCTGTAATCCCAAGCACTCAGGAGGTACAGGCAGAAAGGTTGAGAGTTCGAGACCACCTGGGCCACATAGTGAGACTCTGTCTCAAAAGGCAAAACAAAACAAAAGAAAAAGCAACACTTCAAGTGAGTTGCTGAGTTCCGGATTTTAGGCCAGTTCCTCTATACAAACAAGATGCTTAAGTGACCATTAATTTGCAGAATTTGCCTGATATTTCAGATATTCATCCAGTGTGGTCTTTAAATTAGTGACAGTGGTTGAATTCTGGGTTAAATAGGTCCTACTGGCTAAATTCTAATTAAGTGGAGTCTGGGGAAAGTTCCCTACCAGTTAAGCTCACTCCTATGCTTCCTCAGGGAGGTGATGGTGGTGGGATGAAATAATAACCATAGTCACCATTTATTTATCTCTTAGATTGTGCCTGTAGTGTGCTAAGTGCTGTATGTTCATGATCTCATTGAATTCTTGAAACAATACTTTCAGAGTACTGTAGGGTTCCCTGTTTTTCAGTAGGAAAGCATTTGAGTGTTTTTTATTAAATATTTCAAGCATATAAAAATCAAAGAGGAAGTAATATAACATTGAGTATCATATTTACCATTCAGATTTATCTTACATTGCCATATTTAAGGTTTTTTCTTATTTTTTTTAAAGAAACAAAACATTCCAGATAGAATTGAAGTTACCCATGCCTCCTTGCCATTTATCTTCCCTTCCTACCACCAGAGGTAATCAATATTCTGAATTTAGTGTTTCTCATTCCTATGCATATTTTTATAATTTTATGAAATCTGTATGTATTCACACACATTATTTCCTTAATAAATTGCAAGGGAAAGATCGGAATCTATAAATGAAAATATGAAGCTGTGTGCTTGGAAGGGTTGGGATGAGGGGTAGCAGCCCAGAAAGGGCTTCAAAAAATGTAAATGCTTAACCTCAGCGCCTGTGATATTTGTGCTTGACAACCACAAGGTTTGTTGTTGTGAGGTTTTGTTTGTTTGTTTTGGTGGGAGAAGGGAACAGAATCTTACTGTGTAGCCTAGGCTAACTTCAAACTCCTTATCCTCCTGCCTCAGTCTCCTTGCGTGCTGGGATTACAGGGTATACCACCATACACCCAGTCCAAGGTTTCTTAAGTACTAAGAGAGAGAGGAAAAAAAATTTCCAGAAGTAAATTTATTTTCTTTCTTCTGTCTAAAGAAATAACTTCACTCTGTAAAATAACTGAGTCCCTGAGCCAAGAAATTACTTTATTCTTCATGGAGGCACTGCATGAATGTCTGAAACTCTAAAATTACTAGGTTTATTTATTTTTGGTACTAGGGATTGAACCCAGATCCCTGTGCATACTAAGCATGTGCTGTATCACTGAGCTACTTTTTTTTTTTTTATGGTACTGGGACTTGAACTCAGGGCCAACACCTTGAGCCACTCCACCACTGCTTTTTTGTGATGGGTTATTTCCACATAAGGTCTCAAGAACTATTTGCCCAGGCTGGCTTTGAACTGTGATCCTCCTTCTAAGATGAATAAGTTTAATCTCTCTCCTTTTTACTTCTTTCTCTTGTACTTTATTTTCCATACCACCATTTTATGTTCTCATATTAGAGCTTAGTTTTTAATATTGTCTCTGGCAAGATTATATGTTCCTTGAAGATGGGAATCATACCTTTCTCTTGGAAATCACTTAAAGACATACCATGTAGCTCAGAGCTGTGTGATGATTGCTCAGAAGTTGTTTTCTGAAAAAAAATCTATGAACTGAAGTTAAAACTCAAGGTGTGGTATGGAGGGGAAGAGAGTGAAGTACAATTAAAAAGCTGAAAGGAATGGGGTAAATTCAAGCATAATATATCTGATATATTGTAAGAACTTTTGTAAGTGCTACAATGTACCCCCACCTACCACAACAATAAAAATAGATAAATAAATAAATAAATAAAAAAGCTATAAGGAGATGGACACCAGTAGCTTATGCCTGTAACCCTACCTATTTGGGAGGCTGAGATTGGGAGGCTCAAAGTTTGAGGAAATAGACCCCCTCTCCAAAATAACCTCAGCAAAATGGACTGGAGGTATGGCTCAAACAGTGGAGCACCTGCTTTGCAAGTACAAAGTCCTGAGTTCAAATCTCAGTCCTACCAAAAAAATGGTATAAGAGCTTGCCTCTAATCTTAGTATTTGTGAGACTGAGGCAGGAAGATCTTTGAGTTTGAGCCTATCCTAGTCTACATAGTGAAACCCTGTCTCAAAAAAACAAAAAACAAAACAAACCGTAAGGTGATAGAATGACTACCTCGTAAATATGAGACCCTTAATTCAAACCCCAGTACTGCCAAACAACAACAGTGAGACCACCATAAGGAGTATGACAATGTTTGAGCATTTCTTAAAGCTTCTTAAATGGGTTTGTGAAATATCAAAATATTAGCTTTTTGTCACCTTTTCCATCTTGAAAATAATTATAGTTTAGTCTGTCATTAATTATTTAGATTTTATTTACTTATATATGTCTATATGTATGTTAAGACAGGGTCTCCCTGTGTATCCCGGGCTGGTCTCTTGAGTGCTGGGTCTGGTGTTTGTCACTATGCCTCACTCTAGGATTTTTTGTTTTTCTAAATGAGTTGCTGAGGATCAAACCCAAAGCCTTGTGCATACTTAGCAAGTAAGTACTATATCACTGAGCTACATTCCCAGCCCATAAACTTAGGGATGTTACTTATACAAGTAAATATTCAAGTAGAAGAGGAAAATGATGGTGACAGAAGTCTTCCCTTGCCCTACTTTTCACTTCTGCAAGTTATAGTAGTCACCAGTTTCATGTTTGTATCTTTACAACCTTTTCTTTGAACCTAATTTTTTGGTATGGTCATGATTAGTTTTAAAATTTGGTGGAATCTTCAACATTGTCTAGTCTCTCTTCCAGTTTTATAAATGAGGAAACATCCAAATGATTAAGTGGCTAATGGTTAGAGCTTGTTAGTGACAAAATCAGTATTATAACCCAGTTCTTTGGAATCCCCAAGCCAGTATTCATCCTATTAAAGCAAATGATAAGAAAGTGCATGTCGGTGGAAGGAACAAAACTAGTTCTACAGTTGCATAAGTTTTTCTTACAAAGGTTTTCTTTGGTGTTCTTGACTGGAAAAAAAAAATCCAGCTTTCTGGTATTAAAAAAAAATCAAGATAAAAATTAATAGATGGAGCACTTTGAAGCATAATACAGTTGACTTTGTAATTAGCAGAGTTGAAAGTGATGAGAAGATCCTTTAATTTTCTTTGTGCCTGCAGGAAGGTGGGAGTCAATCATTTTGACAGTTCTCCTGAAAGGAACAGCCAGCAGGAGTTGAAACCTTTTTCTATTTGGTCTTGTGGCAAAGGCAGAGATTGCTCCAGCAGCTCCACACAGTATGGAAGACAATTATTTATCTTCTTATACTTTTTTTTCTTTTTAATTTCAAAAATAATACATCTGTTTCTTAGAAGTGTAAACAAAGTGTCCACATACATTTTACAGAATATGTATTTGTTTTGTTTGTGTATTATAATCATTCTGTGATCATACTTAGAGATCCACTTCACTGTGTTTTTAAATAGTTGAAAAGTATTCTATAACATGAATATCCCATGATTTTATCCGACATTTCTCTCAGTGGTAAACACTTAAGTTGCCTCTAATATTTGGCTACTTTGAATAATGCTATTTTGCACATGGTTGTATATGTTTCCATGTGCATTTGTAATAAGTATATCTGTAGGATAAATTTCCAGAAATGAAATTGCTAGGTCAAATGATGTTGCCAAATTACCCTTACAAAATAGTGTTGTAAGAGATTGAAGTGCTCTTAAAGAGTGCTTGTCTCCACATCCGTACTAATGCAAATTAACTATCATCTTAGTTTTTTCCATTTTGATCAGAAAAAGGTATCTTACTGTTCCAACATGTATTTCCATGATTCTGGTAGGGTTAAGTATCTTAAAATTATCTCTCCAAAGCTGGGAGTTGTGGTATGTGCCTGTAATCTTAGCATTCAGGAGTCTGAGACAGGATAATAGTTTGAGGCCAGCTAGGAACACATTGTACCACCCCGTTTCAAAAACAAAACAAAATAAAACCAGAATTATGTCTCACGTAACAAGTCACAGGGCAAAGAATTTGAAATATTAGGATGCTGCCCCCAAATATAGTGTATTGGAGTTCATTTAAGGCATTTCCTGTTCCTCAGCAAAATTTCCTCTTATTTCTCCAGATATGACGTGCTCACTAGTGCCCTCTGAACAGTATTCTGGTACCTCTTTTTTGCCTAAAGACAGTGCCCCATTTTCTTGGGGTTCCTTGGATGAAGATGGATTGGATGACTCCTTATTGGAGCTTTCTGATGGAGAAGAAGATGATGGCCATTTCAGCTTCACAGAGGAAGAGATTGAGGTGCTCTTAAAGGATGATGATGATGATGAGCATGATGACAGTGGAGGGAGAGGGAGTCAAATTCTAGCTGATACCCCCCAAGAAAAAAATTCACCGTGCAACTTGGGATCGGAAGCTAAGACCCCTGGCCTCTACCAAACTACCTCAGTTGATCATGGACCAACTCCTACAAAACCACTAAACAGATGCTTTGTACTAGAAAAGAATCTTATAAAAGTAACTGTTGTTCCACCATTTAATCCAACAGTTTGTGATCTTATGCTTAGTAAGGACAAGGCTGATTTATCCAAAGATAATGGAAAACCCTCCTCCCTTGGGGAGCAGATGAAAGAAGATGATAATCTTGGTCCAAATGAGAGTAAATTTTGCTCTGAATCTGAGGGGATGAGCCCCAATAATTCTGCCTGTGATGGGTCCCTGCTCTCTTCTTCAAACAATAACTTTCAGCAAACTATCTCTGACAAAAACACATCTGGCAGTAAGAAACCTATACCTGTATTGTCTCAGATTTCAAACCATACAGAGACTCCTAATACAGGGTCATCCTGGAAAAATGGTGGATCACATAAATCAAGTTGTGAAATGAGATTTCCGGTTGTTTCCAGTTCATCAAACAGAGTAAGTACATTTTTTTCAAGGCAAGGAGGAAAATAAAACTATTTTTATGCAGAAGCTTTGTAAAAGAGTTCCTATATACTTAGGTCTCCATATATTCACATCCTTCCTACCAGGGTCATCTTGTACCACATTGGTACATTTGTTACAATCTGGCAGAGTTTTGTATTCAGAGAAGTTAAGAGTTTGAATACTGACTAGCACTGTGACCCTGGGCTAATTATTTAACTTCTATGTTTCTTCCCAGTTTCTTTTTTTTGGTGCGGAGATTGAACCCAGGGCTTTGTGCATGCTAAGCCTGTGATATACTGAGGTAAACCCCCAGCCCATCCCCTATACTTGTTATCTATAAATTGAAGTAAATGTTTCACAGAATAGTAAGGGGTAATGAAATATTTACAGTACCTGGTATATCATACTAGGTTGCCACTTATTAAATAATTACTAAGATGATTTTGGGTTTCAGCCTAAGTCTCAAATGTTTGATTTCCATGCTTTATTTGCTGCAGCACCAAGTCTGAGTGAGCCACAAGGAGCTGAAAAAACCTTGGGCAATTTACCTAACCTTATTTATTTTTGGTGCAGTTGATCCAACCAAGGGCATAGCTTACCTGTAAGCAATCTACCACTGAGCAACATCCCCATCCCCTAACATTTTTGAGCCTGATTATCTATCTGCTTAATGGGTACTGTATAATAATCCCTACCTCAAGGGCTTTTTTCTTTTCTCTTAAGATTGTAATTGCTATTTAATTTAAAGTACTATCACAGTGTGTGTTGCACTGTTCAAGGATATGCATTTGTAACCTTTAATTAAAAAATATTTCCATATGGGGTTAGGGAAAAGGAAAGGATACTGGGGTAAAGAGGATGGAAGTATGCTACATGTATACATATGGAAGACAGCATAACAACACCCACCAAATACTTTAAAAAGGAGGGCATAGGGCAGGAGGGGGTGAACTTGTTTAAGATATACTGTATACATGTATTGAATTATCATGAAATCTGTATTATTATTATTAAAAAAATTTTTTTTGGTGGTACAGGGATTTGAACTGAGAGCCTCATGCTTGCTAGGCAGTTGCTACCACTTAAGCCATGCCTTCAAATCTCTTCTTGTATTATTAAAATATAATTCAAAGATAATTTTTAAAAATTTCCGTACATAATGTTTCAGTTATATATTATAAATGAAATTTATAAGAAGAACTTATAACTAAGAATCATCTTTCCTTTTGTATTCCTTCTGCTATGGAAATAAAACAATATGTTCTTGATAAGGATTCTGGGGAGATGAAAGTCCGTGAGAGAAGACTACTAGGCAAAGTCATTCCTGTTCTACAAACCAAAACCAGGTAATGTAATAGTACTATTATTATGGTTTCTGGTGGTTCTCTTTAATTTCTTTCCCTTCCCAATAGCCCTTTAGTAGCATGGGGGAGCATTACATAGATAATCAACAAACTTGAAATTCTGGCACTACCTACTTGCATATGGATCTTGGGCAAGTTAAATAATCTCTTACCTCAGTTTCTGTACCAGAACAAATGATGCCTTTTCTGCTGCTCACAAGGTTATTTTGAAAGTGAAAAGACCTATTAGTGCAAGTGCTGCATAAATGTGAGATTTCTTCTTTGTATAAGAAAACTTGATCCCATATATGATAAGAGGTCAGAAAAATTTTGACAAAAAAAGGTTAAAATATAACTAGGAAGTCATTTAGCCATCTTTCCCAGCTCACGTACAACTGGGAAAAAGTCCTAGATAGAGACTGCAGATTTCGGTCACTTTTTCAGTTTATTTTCTTATTGCCAGGAGATGGCAGTGTCTGTACATGGACTTTTCAGTTGAATGTACTAGAAATGCTATTTGTCAGGTTGAATCAGATTGGCTTTCTTACGGTGAAATAAAAAAAATTCTGATTACCCATTTATTGTATGTTATATATATTATGTTTAAAATTTTTTAAATACTATAAGTAAGCCTAATCCTTTTTGACTGTTACCCCATCCCATGTTCTGGTTTTTGGTTTTTGTGTAATTTTGAGGGAAATATTGTAAATTTCTTGCAATAGTAATTATACCAAAAGAACACAAGTCAAGCTATTTGGACCGGTAATAAATTTACAGTCTCAATATTCTCATCCGCTGACTCTTCAGTACAGTGCTCTCAGTATTGCTTTTGCCGGGGTCACCATTACCCTAAATGTCAGATTTTCTTTTCAGTCTTTATCTCAACTTTTCTGTGGCTCTGTGAAGTTAGGTATTTCCTAACTAGCCTTGAATTACTTAACAAATGCTTTCTCTAGAGACTAGATAATCTTTACTTATTATTCCTTGTTAGCAGGAGTTTGTATCTATTTCTTCTCTTACTTCTTAACTTCATACTTGAATTCATCTTCATATTATGTGACTTAATCCTGTCCTCTGTTTTTGTATCTTAAAGAGATTTTTGCCTGTGAAAGTTCATTGTTCTAACCAATCAGCAGTATGTGACTGCTCTCCATAAAGCACTATATTCGTGGTTCTAATTAACTTTTCCTCCTTCTGATTTGCTTTGTTCAAGGACTAACGTTCCGACGTTTTCACAGTCAGATCTAGAAAAAAAGAAGGAAATTTATCTCAGCAGAGTCATTGCTCATATAGAAGACCCAGGGGACTCTAACCAAGGTAACATCGTAATTAAAGACTAGCATGTAAAAATGATGGGATTTTGCTTTCTAGTGTAAGGCAGCTTAAACTGGGGGATTATTTTGAATTTTCTTTTTTATTTATTTATTTATTTATTTTGTGATTCTGGGGTTTGAACTCAGGGCCTACACCTTGAGGTGTAGCCCTATTATTTTGTGATGGTTTTTTTTTTTTGAGATGGGTCTCTTGAACTATTTGCCCATCTGGCTTTGAGCCTCGATTCTCCTGATCTCTGCGTCCTGAGTAGCTAGGATTACAGGCAAGAGCCACCAGAGCCCCTCTTCTTTGTTGTTAAGGCAAGGTCTCTTTATATAGCCTAGGCTGGCCTTGAACTCTCCATCTTCCTGCCTCAGCTTCCAGAATGCTGGGATTACAGGTTTGTACTGTGTCTGGCTTGAATTTCTTTATATTGGTAAGGGAGATAACTTCCTTACCCAAAGATTTACTTAAAGGGATTGTCTAACCAGATAATTACTCAAAGAAGTTTGGCTAACCAGTTTTAGAAAAGGGTCTAAGCAGCCTCACACCAGTACTATACATAAAGTGACCCCCCCCCCCATGGTTGACAACTGTAGCCCAGACCTCTATTTTTAATTCATGATTTTTAATTAATTAATTAATTAATTATTTTTGTGGTACTGGGATTTGAACTTAGGCCTACACTTTGAGCCACTCTCAAACTATTTCCCTGAGCTGGCTTTGAACAGTGATCCTCCTGATCTCTGCCTCCTGAGTAGCTAGGATTACAGGTGTCAGCCTTTTTTTTTTTTGCCTGAAAAATAGTAGAGGTGAATGATCTGGCACTCCTTATTAATCCATTGTTTTTGTGATTTTATGTGAAATTATTTTCTCTGTTGCCTATAGCATTTAAACATAAAAGCAGGCATTTTAAACACCATCCTGCATCTTAACTTCTGGATAAAAGCTCTTGGAAGATTGGAATCTTCCAGATCCCTCAAGCTGATTTATCTGTATTTCATTAGAATCTATTGCTAATCAAAGTGGTTAAATTCTTTCTCCATGTTATCATTCAGTTTGAACCTAACTGTACTGGCAGATAGGGAAATTCCTAAAGGGAAACTTGTGGACAGAACTGAATTTCGGAAGTTTTACACTGATAAAAGGGTTTGTACTGGTAAAAGAATTCCTTTTCATAAAATCACTACATATTCTTTAGCTTCTTTCCCTATTTCTCAAGTACTTTCAGTAGTGTTAAGTTTGAAGATTAGGAACTAGAAATATAAAGAGGAGTAACACAGGGTCTCTTGGCCCCCTGGGAATTCATAGTCCAGAGAACGAGATAATTATACCGTAATATCAATTAGTTCTCTAAAGAATTACATTTAAAGTGCAGTAGGAACTAGGAAGGAATCCTTCTGCTTATATTTGGGAAGAGTGAAAGATGGTCTAGGAGGATGTTGTAGGTGAATTCCATAGAAAAGATGAGCTTAATTACTCTTAAGAGAAGATTTTAGGGGAATTTTCAGTCCTGTAGCAGAGGAGACTCCCTTTTTTTTTTCTTTTTCTTTTTTTTGGAAAGTCCTAGATTAGTAGTTTTAAAAGGCTATAAGTGAAAAGTTTAAGGCTGTAAGATATCAGAAGTTGTGTTTTGTTTGATTTTTATTTTTTTTTTAATTTTTTTATTTTTGTGGAACTGGGGTTTGAATTCAGGGCTTGGTACTTGCAAGTGCTCTACCGCTGAGCCATATTTCCAGTCCGTTTTGCTTTGGTTATTTTGGAGATGGAGAACTTTGTTCAAGCTGGTTTCAAACCTTGATCCTTCTAATCTCAGCCTCCCAAGTAACTAGGATTACAGGTATGAGCCACTGGTGCCTGGCTGAAAAGAATTTTTTATTCTAAGTTCTCTTATTTTCTACACAAGATTTCATTAAGCAGTCAAATATAGCTCATACTGATTTCTCAGCTATCTGTGAGATCTTTTTGCTTGAACTATTTTAGGCCTGGTGGAAGTAGAGACACCCACATCGTTGGAGGGACAGATTTAAAAAGAGTTTATATTCAAGGTCTGTGGGAAAAGCCTGGTAATTGCTTTTCTCCCTTTGAGGTGACTTTCCTTCTTTTATATCCTAGGCAGTTGACACTGATATCTAGTTATATTTTTCTTTCTCATTTGGGGCATTTAAAGAAAATTTCACAAGAAAAGCAGAGCACTTCTTCACATTTTAGCATCTTTTCCATTTAATAATCCTCCCAATATTACAACAATCAACATCTAGAAATACAGTGGAAAGGCAGATTTTGTGATTGGGAAAATAAAGTCTAGTCTAGAGTTAACTTCTGGGTTCATATCTTGGCACCACTCCTTACTGATTAGGTGATCTTGACCCATTACAAACTCATTTGTAAGATGAGGATGAGACTTGTCTTGTGAAGCGTGATTATACATGCAAATACAAGTGTACTGCATAGAACAATACCCAGCTCTAGCAACTAGAATTTATTGAATAATTACTATTACTACCAAGAGAACTCATCTTTCTCATGCTAAAGCTTTTATAGTGTGATATCTGGTGTTCTCAAAAAAAAAAAAAAAAAAAAAAAAAAAAAACGCCCTGGAAAACGAGATGAAACTGATTTGACAAAATATTAATAAATGAAGCTGACTGGTATAAAATACCATACAGTTTTCCATTAGCTGGGATGTCAAGAAAGAAGTGGTTGGTATTTCTTTGCTAATGCTATTAAAAACCCATATGGCACTAAAGAGTTATGGCTATATTAGAATAACAGGGTTGAAGGATGATTTGTTTTGTTACATTCTATGTAGGATTTTTTTTTTTTTTGGTGTTTATATATTTTTTTATTGTTGTACTAAGGGTACGTTGAGACATTTAGAAAAGTTCTTACATCATAGTTGAATTCACCCCCTCCATCATTCTCTTTTATCCTCCAACCTCCATTTCTGGAATAGTTTTAACAGGTCTCTATAACATTAATGATAAAATGGAAGGAGATGACTAACCCAATAGGATTTAAACTGAATGTGGAAAAACTACATTTGAATTTACTAAAGTATATAAACATTTTAAAAGCTTTTGTTGGCTGGATGCTGGTGATCCTAGCTACTCAGGAGGTAGAGATCAGGAGAATTGAAGTAAGAATCCAGCCCAGGCAAGTAATCCAGGAGACCCTATCTTAAAAAAAAACCCATCACAAAAAAGGACTGGTTGAGTGGCTCAAGGTGTAGGCCCTGAGTTCAAGCCTCTGTGTGTGTGTGGGGAAGAGCTTTTGTTACTTGTTACCAGATTGTCCTGTTCCCCAAAATTGTATTAATTTTTATTGTTGCCAATATTGGTAGGTAAATTTTAACATTTTGTTTTAATAATTAGTAAAGTTACATTTTTTTATGTTTATTGGCAATTTATGTTTAATCATAATTTTTGGGCAGAGTGAGACTGGCAGTTGAACTCAGGGCTTGGTGCTTGCAAAGTGGGCATTTGTACTGCTTGAGCCACACTGCCAGTCCATTTTACTCTGATCATTTTGGTGACGGGAGTGTCTTGAACTGTTTGCTTGGGCTGGCCTTAAACCACGATCTTCCCAATCTCTGCCTCCCAAGTACCTAGGATTATAGATGTCAGCCACCAGTCCCTGGCTCTCATAATTCTTAAAATCATCTAATACCTACTCCATTTGCAGTTTCTACAGTTGTCTCAAAATGTCTTTTGATAATTTTGTTCAAATAATATCTAATCAAACCACATTTTTATTGTCACCTTAATCTCTTCTAATATAGGTCACTTGTTTTCTAGATTGTCCTATATTCTGAATTTTGATTGTTTCCTTTGTGTCACTTTAGTTTACTTTTCTATTTCCTGTATTTTATAAATTAGAGATTGGATCTAGATGCATGATTAGATTGAGATTAAGCATTTTGGGCAGGAATAATTCAGAGGGCTATTAGGTATTTATTCTGTATCAAATTAGGATTTACATTTAACATTTGATGTTTGGTTGTTTCACTAATACTGATATTAAGTTTATTAATGTACTGACTGTCAAATTTCCACTTCAAGATCCATTTTTCCACTTTATATATAATTAGTAAGTCATCTGTGGGGTGATGCTTTGGAACTGTATGAGTGTGCTGTTCCCAACAAACTGTTTACCATTCATTGATGATCTTTGTCTGAATGAGCTATTACTTTGGGAGTTTCATAGAAAATGCTCATTTTCTAAATATGTAATTTCTTCTATCATTATTAAGTAGCATTTGTTTTTGAGACAGGGTCTTAATTTTTGGTGGAACTGGATTTTGACTTAGGGCTTCATGCTTACAAAGCAGGTACTCCCAAAGCAGGTGCTATACTGCTGGAGCCACACCTCCAGTGCATTTTGCTCTGGTTATTTTGGAGATGGGATCTCCCCAACTATTTGCCTGGGCTGGCCTCAAACTGTGATCCTCCCTATCTCAGCCTCCCAAGTAGCCATGACTATAGGCTTGAGCCAACAGTGCCTGAGCTCTGCTTTCAGATCTTATATACACAGAAGTGGAATTGCTAGATCGTACGGTAATTCTATAATTTATTTGTTTTGTGGGTTTTTTGTTTTCTTTTGGTTTTTTCAGTCTGGGGTTTGAACTCAGGGTCTCATGCTTGCTAGGCAGGCACTTTACAACTTGAGCCATTTCGCCAGCCCTGTCTGTCTGTTTTTTGAAAGAGTTTTGCTATCTAGGCATGGCTGGCCTTAAACTCTCAATCCTCTTGCCTCAGCCTCCCAAGTGCTGGGATTACAGGTGTGTACCACCATGTCTGGCTATTTGTAGGTTTTAGTGTACAGTCTTGTACATCTTTTGTCAGACTTATCCCTGAATGTAGTGAAGTTTTGTAAAAGTTAGTTTTAGAAATTTCTGTGGTTCATTGCTAATATATAGGAATTCAATTGATGTTTATAGGTTGATCTTATATTCTACATCCTTTGCTAAATTCACTTAATTAGTTTTGGTAGTTTTTTTGATT